TGGAAATCAGATGGGGATGCTCCTCGCGACAGGCTCCTGGACACCTGTGGCGCATTCCCGCCATTCGTTGAGCCTGGAGTCGCAAATGAACTGGGCGTAAGCTGATATTGTGAATTGAACCTTTGCTGAAGACCCTGCAGATCAGTTGGCGACTGAGGTGCACCAAAAGAGTTTTGCCCATTCTCGGGGTTTTGGCCTGAGGGAAACACTCCAACTCCCGGTACTTGCGTCCCGTCTGAGAGGGATGGTGAAGGGCCAGTCGGTGCAGGCGCAGATGGAGCCTGCGTCTTGTGGTCGTCGGTTATCATAATCGAATTTGTGATTGCCTGCGCCACCACATTGTCCAAGTGATCCTTCACAGTGAATATAACCTGGAAACCGAGCTTCTCGTTTTGGTGTCGGCAATAGCATGCAATCCGCATTGGCAGCTCCACTTGCATTGATCCTGGTGGGACTGATAACCTATCACCGTAGCCGCTGGCGTTCTTTGCTGGCTCAGTCCATTCCTTAATCTCGCTGGTGTTGAAGACGATGACACGCTTCTCTTCATCTTTTTGGAACAGTTCATCTTCCTCAGGCTTCCTTTGCTTCTTCCGTGACGCACGTTTCCGTTCCCGCTGTATGCACCCGCTACAGATTTTCACGTCACCTCCATCTAACGGACGTTCGTCATCTGAAGTTGCTTGATAGTGATCACCTCTTGTCCGTGCAAATGCCCGCTTCATCTTTTCTCTGTCTTGCATGGCGCTTGTGCATACCAGACTTGTGTGCAACTGGAGGGTATCGCGGCTAGGTTCGGTGGCAGGAGGAGCAAGAAATTTAAGTTTGGAGATGGTGTGTGAGGGAAGACGGAGTTTCTTCACGCCGGTAGGTAACGGGGAGAGGGTCAATCGGATCGGAATTTGAGTCTCAACACGGGATTTGAGGGAAGTGGGATGCACGGTGAGAACAGGTTGTAGAGAGTGGGCGTTCACTTGAGGTTGGGCCGGGGAGGAAGCGAAGTTGACAGGGAATTGGTACGACGCGGGAGAGCCGAAGTTCATGGCGGGTGATAACGAGGTGTGAAGAGGTGATTGGCGATTCATGTTGATGCCTCCAAAGCTTTCTTCCAGAAGTGACGAAGGAGACTGTCCGCCCCATTGTGGAGCGGCTCTATCCATATCTTGATGTATTGTGGTGGAGTATGGCGATTGGCCGTTCAGTCCAAAAGCGAAGAACGGAGACCCGGGGGCATGGGCCTGTGAGTTGTTAGCAATACACGGAAAACAAACGTGCTGTTAGAAAAACTCACCGAAGGCACAGCGTCAATGGACGATATTCCAGCGGGATTGCTTGAAGGGCTCCAGAGCTGGGATTTCGAGCGCTTTTGGGGTCTCGGAAGTGACCCATTGTCCGTCTTCAATGGACTAGGGCTACTTGCTGCACTTTCAAAGTCAAAGGCTGCATCCATCGCCTTGTTGCTGACCTCCAAATCAGGATCCATAGAGAAACCACCATCCATCGGAAAAGACGGGTCAATATTGAACGGCGATTCCTCCTTGACTGACGATAACTCCGGACGCATCCAGTCCTCCGACGGGTAACTAGTAGAAACCAAGGGATTTTCACTGTGCACTGCGGAGTTTGTCGAAGCGATCGATGTTTGTCGCAGGTGATTCCGTGGCGATTCGGAGGAAGAACTGCGACCCGAGTCATCTGGCGATTCAGCGGGCGAGTCCGCGGCAAGTGTCGGCACTTGTCTCAGGGAGCTTTGGTCTTGGTATGGTTTCGAAGAGCCCGACACGCCATTCTGACGGGAAGTTGTGGCTCGGGTGAATAGGTCGTCAAAATCTCCGCCGGCATTTTCAGTTGATATCTCGAGTTTTGTGGGATCCAAAAAGTCCATGTCGTCGTCCATGATAATCGGATCCAGTGCGGAAGACGAAGGTGAGAAGGGTGCCTGCGCTGATACCATCGTTTTCTTTTCGTTTGATTCCAAAGTTGGTAAATCGCGATCACCCCAGCCGCGATTTCAGCCGTCCACAGCCACCTTCAAACAACCCTATTAAATATAACAATTTTCGCGCGTTGGGAAAGGGATCTTGGAGTAGTGATCCAGAAAATATATGACAATCAAGACCTGTCACAGTTTATACCAGGACCAGTCCCCGATACCATGGCCCTGAGAAAGGTGAGATTAAAGGTGTTGGGGAATGTCACTGCCTTGTAACTGGAGGAAAGGGGAGCGGGAAAACTGTGAGCGCCGATGGCCGGCAGAATCTCAACAAAGTATATGTAATCAGCGTCTTTAGTGGACGTGAATTTATATTTGTAGTTTTAAGGCAAAGTATTGAATTGGATTAAATTGTCCATTGATTTTAAAATGATCCTATCTCTTTTCAGATATGCTTACATCCCATAATCATAGCCCTGGAGATATGTGTGTATGAAATAGACACCTCAGGCCTCACAAAGCGGTGGGCAATATATTATTGCACACCATTTGATTTGCTGTTGACCCTACTTCTCCCGTCTGAGGGGGACGAGGAAGGTTTTCCTCTTCGTTGTACGGAACTCTTTGCATGGCCACACAACTTCATCTCGCTTTGTGATACCTGACTTTATTCCTACGTAGACACTCGGATTGATCGGGGCCGAATACTTGGAATGACGAAGAAGTGCTCTGTACGTGCATAACCAGGATAATGTACAGAAACCTGTGCCAAGCGCACACAGACACTTCGGGTAATCATGGCTCGCGAAAGCAGAGATTGTGACATCTTGGTTATCGGCTGTGTCCTACCCTTGCGATATTGGAGTAACACTCGTTAATGGCCTGCAGGGCTAGCTATCAGTTTTGGGTGCTTTGCATCGGTATCTTTTCGACGCACCAATGCAGGTGGCACCATGATACGCACTTGAAGATTGTGATAGGACTCGCCATGGCCAGTAACCCTGAGCAATGCACTGTTGCGAACACCTGTCAACACAGCATACAATATATGTCGTATAATTGCGCGTCCTCTACACCGATAGCGTATTATAAAGATTGGGTACCTTTTGTATGGTAATTGTATATAAAAGGTACATAAGCGCAACAAAAATGAGTCATAGCATCGATTTTTCTCAACTCTCTAACAAGCTTAAGGGAAAATAAAAAAGTAAAGCTAATGCGAATCTAGTTCAATCGGTATATGTTCTATCTAAAGTTAATTCTACATGTACAACATGATATGAAAGTGTAAAGAGAGCCTTAAGAGACACCATATACAAATAATATATATATAAAAGTTCAATTGTCTTGTTCTAGCCGAACTTGATAATCCTTAGTAAGGTGATAGTAATTGAACCTTCATTTACACTATATATATCTTCCTATATTTTCCTTAACCAGTCCAAGGCTTAAGAAATTCGAGGTTGTATGTATGCAAATGTGATATTTATGTACCTTTTGTATGCAATTGCCATACAAAAGATACATAATTTTACAATTTGCTATCCGGCGCACGGAGTACGTAGGTGTTGGTGGGCCTGGCATGGTTATGTTGTATATTAGAGCCTCCATAGGCAGTGGATAATCTGTCTTCTTCACGTGTGTGATGCAGAATTTGATTACGGTTTAATTATTAGCCAAAGATATCTGCCCTAGAGACAATTGAACCTGCATATAGTATGGAGATCTAGTTCCTCGCAATCACACGTCTGAAACTAGATTTAATCTACGTTCGTATTGAAGCTTTCCGTTAATCTATTATATGATCGTTGAATTAGTTTGAGACCTGTTCCAATGTAAATTGATCAAAAGTCCCGTCAATCTAATTGATAAAAGGATTTGCGAGGGATATGAGAAGCGCGAAGGAATAACGTGATTTTCATGTGACTTCGCCAATTTCACGATTTGCTTCTATTTTGTACGGAGTACGGAGTAGCTTTGGCGCCTTGGTCATTTAGAACGCAATTTAGATCTGACAGGAGTGCTGACTATGGACCGTCCGAGATTATTTATCCTGACTCCTGGACCCTATCATGCAGGAGACGGACATGATCCGGTGGAGTGTCTCAGAATAATCTTCTAAGCGCAGAGGCTAGCACCTCTGGCGTTTGAAGGGGCAAACGGCCATATCTCTACGGCGCAGGGAGTATGCTGTACGGACTAAGTCTGCCAGGTCGTTCAAATGAAGCCGGTTGGATTAAAAAGAAAAAGCCGTTGTTGGCTAGGTACATAGGAAGAATTTTCCACATACCTGTTTCAACATAGTAGAGGATAGACGATCGACCTGTCAAAAGGCATTGTGGGATACAAAATTCTCCGAACCCCCCTGAAATGAAATTTAAACGAGGTTTCCCCGAAAATCAGGGGAACCAACCCTTACGGAGTACATACAATATACGGAGACTCCGTACAGAATTGCAAGAGCGGAGATGTGATACTTTAAGGGGCTCGATGAAACTTGGACTGTCGCAGCCAACCGCCCACGATCGACAGCCACCCAACGAGAGATACGAGTCCGTGTCAAACGTGCCCTCCTTGATGATCCTGATGGAGCATAGCTTAATTACGGTTGTGCGCTAGTGCAGCCCTGGGAGCGTCCGGCGCTTTCGAGACCACCGTGCTTCATCTATCTGCCACCTCCTAGATGCACATGTCTCGGTCGCCCATGATTCTCCACCTATAGGCGCACTCAGAGAGTGGAATCCTTGTCCTAAGTCAGAAAGATCCGTTGAACTTGCTGTTATGGTCTGTGATAGGTAATTCTTGGCAAACGGAGTGATGCCGCTTTTGTCGAAATGGGTATGAAGCCCGCGAGGAACCTACATATATAAGGCCCTGGCATCCAGGCCACTTGATTTTTCTCATCTATCCTTTGCATTCCATTCATTTCAAGGTCTAGTACCATTCATTCTCTTTCGGGTTGACTTCATTGACTGAAGTCCCCTTGTCATTCTTTTTCCCGCTCACCTTCGATACTTCGATCCTTCGATTTAAAACGCTGTGCGTTTTATCCTACAACTTCTTCAAGATGTCTGTCTCAAAGATTGCGGGTCTCATGCTTAGCTCGGCCGCCATGGTCGCTGGCCACGGTTTCGTCTCTGGTGCTGTTGTTGATGGCACCTACCACGGAGGCTACCTCGTCAACAACTACCCCTACAACGACAACCACCCCGAGACCATTGGATGGGCCGAGAAGGCTACCGACCTCGGCTTCGTCGATGCCTCCGGCTACTCTGGCCCCGACATTATTTGCCACAAGGAGGCCACTCCTGGTGCCATCTCCGCCGAGGTCAAGGCCGGTGGTGATGTCGAGCTGCAGTGGACTGAGTGGCCCGAGAGCCACCACGGCCCCGTCATCAACTACTTGGCTAACTGCAACGGCGACTGCTCCAAGGTCGACAAGACGACCCTCAAGTGGTTCAAGATCGCTGAGTCCGGTCTGATCGACGGCAGCAACGCCCCCGGTAAATGGGCATCTGACGAGCTCATTGCCAACAACAACAGCGCCTCCGTGACCATCCCCAGCTCCATCGCCGCTGGCAACTACGTTCTCCGTCACGAGATCATCGCCCTGCACTCCGCCGGCCAGGAGAACGGTGCCCAGAACTACCCCCAGTGTCTCAACCTGAAGGTCACCGGCGGCGGCAGCGACGTTCCCGAGGGTGTCGTCGGAACTGAGCTCTACAAGGCCGACGACGCTGGCATTAAAGTCAGCATCTACAACCAGCTGACGGACTACACCATCCCCGGTCCCGCTCTGTACAAGGGCGCCTCCTCCGGTTCCTCCTCCGGCTCCAAGACCACCGCCGCTGCCTCCACCGCGACTACCGCCAGTGCCTCAACCGTGAGTGCCTCTCCCATCCAAAGCTCCTCTTCGCACCACCTCACCCGCACCCGCACTGCCCGTCCCACTTCCAGCCCCTCCGGCACCCCTACTCCCTCATCCAGTGCTACGTCTGCTGCCTCAACCTCCACCCCAATTGGATCTGGTGTTGAGTCCACCGACGCTCCTTCGACCGTCACCGAGACTGCCACTGCCACTGCTTCTTCTGCTCCTCAGGTTACTGACGAGCCTGCTACACAGACCGCCAGCGACCCCGCCGACAGCGTTTCCATCACCACCAGCGCCGGTGCCCAGTCTGCCCAGAGCTCCGTCCCCGCCTCCGGTGGTGAGGCCTCCGAGGCTAGCGCTACCCCTACCCCCCAGCTCCAGCTCTAGCTCCGGCTCCAGCTCCAGCTCCGGATCTTCCTCCGAGTCCGGCGACTACGCCTCCTACCTCAGCTCCCTGAGCGCCGAGAAGCTCCTCGAAGTCATCCGCTCTACCCTGAAGTGGCTTGTCTCTGACAACAAGGTGCACGCCCGTGCCCTGAGTCACTAAAATATTCGCCTTTCGTGTTAGATTTATAGCTGTGGATAACTTTCATCTGTGTCTATATGTCTTCTCGGTGTGTGAATATTGGTACTGAACGTCTGTGAAAGTTGGATCAGGTATCCTATCTCTTGTTGATTGTTCGACTGCGACTGATTGTAACAACACCGTGTTACGGATTTCCTTTTATTTTCTCTTTCCTCCTTGCATTTTATGCATCGGAGACGATAGGCCAGCTTGGGTCTTTTTCTACTTTACCTTTATGAATGGAATCGTTGGACTGCTCAATTTTATGACATCGTAGATGAAAACGTACTATAAGTTTTTACCCCGAACAGAGATTTGGCTGGTTTGCTTTAACTCCAACTCCAGATTGCGCCTATTTTTCTGGATAATCCTTCGAAGCCAATAAATAATATGCTGTTATCTCGTGCTGAACATTGATACTGCAAGTTCTATGCGTTCTTTGAATCGTTCATATTCAATCACCTCGAGTGGTCTATCGTGTTTGAAGACTTCATATGAAGTAGTACTTTGAAAGTGAAAAGGGAAGGAGAGGAAGCACTCTACAACATCGTAGTGAAAGAATGTTTCAATAACGGCTCCCAGGGAATAGAAGAACCATGGAGACATACAGGTCCTACCATGGTGAGCCCGGAACTAAGAAAAGAGTGTAAAGACGAAGCTGGTTTTGCATAACGCCGTATGCTCGAGACGCTTCTTCCCCGGAATTAGACAACAATGTACTTTGAACTCTGGCGGGGACTGGCACCCCGGTCTTCACGAAGCTAGTTACAGCCCCAAAGCCTCCAGCTGTGAGATAAGTTCGGCCGGAGCCTCATCCTCTGACACGACTGGCAGGGGTAAAGGGAAAGGAACACGGGGGGGCTATATTCACGTCAGCAGGCTCCAAGTTCGCGCAGTAGAAGCATTAATATCTCCCCATGCCCGAAAATTTAAAGACAGTGTCCTCTTACCAGTAATGTCATGGACAGTTTGACTCCTTAAAACGGCGGTAGGAGGGATGCAATGAACAACAAGGTACTCCTTAGCGACGCTAGCCTGCGCGGCAGTCCAGATCGACAGAGACAAAGCGTCGACAATCTTCTCGGCACGGAAAACGAGGTGGCCTCGAAGTGAATTCGTATCAATCTCAAGAAGGGTGCAGTCTCTGCTGTGAAAGCGCGAGTGCCTTTCAAGCATCCAGTTTTCGGCATGCCCTCTGTCAGAAAAGAGTGATATAAACATGGTCATGTATTGATGGTCCCAGTTTAGATGTCGCTCTACCGCATCACTAAATCCAACAAGGTCTTCCTCATCATATCGTGTATCAATATCTTCTGCTTTAAGCCCCCCGTCAGCCCTACAAGTCGTCCTAGAATCCCTATATTGGACCCTATAGAGTATACGTGGGATTTTGTCTGCAGGAAGGACGAACATATCCATTTCTAATTATGTTCGCAGACGTTAGCACATTCCTCACAGTTGGTAACGAGGCTTCAAGGCCTTACTTATAGTGGCCACTCAAGGGCGCAGGCATGAAATCACAAAAATATGCTGGTTCGTGGACAAGGAGAAAGAGATAGTGAGGTGAATTGTTCGTACATACAGTATTGTATGTCGAGTCAACGAGACTTAATTCCAGACGTGAGATCAAAAGAAGACTTGAATGCTGCAGTGTTAAGAGCTGATTTTGTATTTTGTAATCGTAGAGTGCCTTGTTGGGCTCTTAGGCGGAAATTAAGCTGCCCGATGAGGAACATTGCATCCTGCGATTCAACTTGGGCGACGAATAGCCAACACGGATATGTTGAAAGCAAGGAAGTGTGAGTGAGTAAAGACAAGAGGAGAGTGCTGTCCGTGGATGGAAAGGAATACAAGCAGATATTTAAATGTAGGAATGGCGCCAACAATAATGCATATGCCAAATATTGGAGCAAGTGAAAATTATGGACAACCGGTCCGCTTGACATACAGTATATTGCCTGCTATTATCAGGTACCTAGTACCTAGGTATACTATTAGTATCATGCGTGATTATCTACCTAGGTAGGCATGAAAAGGCGAAATCTTGAAAGTACATGGGACACGTGGCTAGGCAACCCCCGAGTTAGACGTTCTAACTACCCGCTGTAAGGAATACTTGTATCCTTGTTCTCGAACACTTCTCTGTATCTTAGTATATACCAAAGAGAGGAGATACTATGAGGAACATCCCACGAACTAATATCCGGAAGACCGCAAACCACATCAACTTCGACATCCCCAACACGTTGCGAATCGTAATACAATAAACAGATCTTCTAGATACTAGTGAGCCTCATATCCTTGCCAGTGATAGATAACTTCAACGTCAAGTCTGCCAGTCTAGCAGAGAACCATAACTGTGAAATCCACACGGGATAGTGATCTCATGTAGTACAGATTCTAGAAATGGAACAGCAGCACATATATGTTGTACCAATAAAGCCCTGGAGTACAAAAGTAGCGTGGAGGCACGTGGACAACAGCGTCCTTCTGTATAAACTCTCGGGTCATTCTTCGATCTCCGTCTACTCTGCCATACAATAAAATTCCATACACTCTAGCAAAAGAAGCCCCATTACCAAGCCGTTCGCTACTCCCACCCAAGAAATAGCCACCGAAACCAAGCAAAAGCTACAATGCCAACACCGGAGGATACAAACAGAACCGAAAGAAATACTACCTCCAACCAAGGACCAAGTACTGAACCCCTGTCCGGCACACGCGAGTCCACACAGCACGGAGCAGACAATACGCCTCGCGATACTACACGCCGGACAGAAATCTACACCGATAACCCGGACCACGCGAGTCGTCTTACAGACGAGGAACGTCAGAGCTAGAGGCGCTGGCGGCGGACTCGGGGGGCGGTGCGATATACGTTACGTATGATTTGGTTCGCAGGATAGATACGCTTATGGCGGATGGGACACGTCGTACGGATCAGGCTTTGATGCAGTACTTGTTTCAAGATGATATCTGGGAGGCTATTGATACTAGTGATATTCGTGATAGGGAGACGCGGGGGGATGGTGGGAATGGACATGGCAATGGAAGGCAAGGAGGCGAGAGCGATTTAAAATTGCCGAATGGAACGGAGGGGAGCCACGAAGAGGAGTTGAAGAGGAGTTGAAGCAACAGATGGATTATTGATTCAACTTTGGTTTAGCAATGTGCTGGGGAATGTGTATCTGGTAGTTCAATCCACCAAATCATGATTATCTTGTTCATTTATAGCAGCATTCTGCAACCGATTGATTTATCATCTGTACAGGAAAAGCGCTCTCTATCTAGCGTTGTATGAACAAATGATCTTTTGCGAGGCGATCATTTCTTCTTCTTGGTCTTATCCACAACCTCGATCATCTGTGGCTTCAATCCACGGCGAACAAGGGCTGTCTCAATGGCCTTTCGTTGGTCGCCCTGTACCAAAACTTCCATGATCCCTTTGGGGGCACCGGTAGCTTGTGTCACACTAGTGCTTCCGGCACATTTCTTCTGCAGCTCCTGTGCTAACAGACTAGGAATAATGCCGAAGACCTCCAGAGTCATGACCTTGGTAACAGTCTTGGAGCCTGTCCGCTTCTCGAGGGTGACATGGACCTTTGGTGGGCTGCCTGCTTTCGGCTTGACATCTGCAATAGTCTGACCGGTCTTCAAAATGAGATGGTACGGCGAGAGCAAAGTTTTATCATCCATGAGTCGTTTCAACAGACCATCGCGAGTGACCTTCCCGCGTGCCAGTGTCCCTTTATCTTCGGTGGATGATGAATTGAAGATGGTGTTCGCAAGGAATGGGTTGAGCGATATGATGCGTCGGTTCTCTTTTGAGATGATCGGCGGATTTTGGGATTCAAGGTATTTATCCAAGTGACTGGATACGTCCGAGTATTTGTAGAAGTTATTCGTGTCGCTGGCAGCGAGGGCAGGGAAAATGGTTGGCATCAGCTTTCCTGATGGCCGATATAGACTTTGCACAGTGATCGTCTGGCCCACTGAAGGGTCGGAGCCATCCGTTGCAGCCGACTTTTTGCCCTCAGGCGCGGTAGCTTTACTGCTCTCCAGGGCACGTGGTGACGGCAGTCTGTATGGCACAAATCGCTCGACTCGATGGTCCTCGAAGTCCACATCCAAAATGACGGTCTCTTGACCGCTACGGTCCTTGGTTTTGACAAGCTTCAATTTGTCTAGATGTTTCATGAACTTTTTCACGTTCTTCCAACTGGTTTTCTTGATGTTGTAATGCTGAGCCTGTTGGGGGTTGTAAACAGGAAGATAGGGAGTAGTGAAGTTGGCTATCAACGCCGATGCTGTGATTGGCAGTGGAAGGCCATGGTCGGTTGCTGATGGGTTATCCTGCTTGAGCTTGTAGAGGGCGTACACAAAAGCATTAACAAACGCCTCATCAATTTCTATTATTCGTCAGTCCTTGATTTCGTTCCAATACCCAACCTCTGGCTGATAAGAAAGAGGTAGTGTTGACTTACCCTCCGTTGTGGGTGCCTCCTCTTCGGTCACTGGTTCTTCTGACGCGGTTGGGTCATTGCTTGGTGTTTCAATGTCCCCTGGGGTTGTTGTAGCCCCTTCATCCGCGATTCCTAAATCTCCCATTTGTTCCTCAACTTCCTCAACACCCTCGGTTTCGTCCTCATCCCAGCCCTCCAAGTACTCTGGAGCGGGACGACCCGGAAGTGACGCTGAGCTCCACGCCCAAAGTTCATCACCTTCCCAGTGCAAGCCACGGACCGCATGGCCCTTTGTACCTTGCACCTCTCCCAATGCCGAAACATCAATCTCACATATGCCTACAAAAAGCGGCACTGTATGTTTGTCCACACTCGCGACCGCGACAACAGCGCCCTTGACCGCCCTTTCGGGAATGGAGGTTCATTCGCGAGGCCCGGTGTCATTAGGTCAGCTCCACCATGCAGCTTCCCCATCACAAACTCCGGAGTATAGAGCAAGGGAACTAAGTTCGGGTTGTGCCACAGTGTATAGACGGTTGGGTATAGTCGTTTGTCGGCCCCCGGGCCATGTTCCAGCTTGAACCATAGCACCCGCTCATCGCCGTCGGGATGTGTGCCAACATATACGATCCCTTGAAGCTCGCGAAGATCTCGGCCAGCGGTGGTTGTAAAACGAGCAGTCTGGGTGTTATCGGGCAGGAGGGAATTCCGGATGGACGTAAGGCTCGAGGCGGGGGCAGATGCTGTGCTGGGCTCGGACAAGTCTGCTTTGGTGGGGTTTGAGGTGACGGGAATTTGGTAATCTTTGATAATTTGGTCTGCAATCTTGCGACGATCAGAAGACCGTAGTGGAGAAAGATTTTTGATCTATTCGAATTTAGTATGGTGTCATTGGAGTGGGAGCATTTGCAGTAGGAGCTTTAACTCCCAGCAAAGCTTGGAGGGGTAGTGCGGGGGAGGGGTCAATTACCGTAGGCTTCTTTTTGAACATAATTGTAAGCTCGTAGCTATAAGATGCTATAAGCTAAAAGAGCAGAATATATTTGAATTAAAACCAGCTGAAGAGCTGGAGAGCAAGGATATGTGAATGAGTCAAGAGGTGAGGTGCGAACAAGAAATCTCCCGGTGCTCCACATTGGCCCGAAGAGGAAACGAACTCGCTTTCAAGGTTTCTTAGCCATTTGACTCATATTATATACTATATTCACTACATCCTCTTCAGCTAAATATTTAGATAGAAATAGCAAAAGGTTGAGCATCTACGTCGTCTCTCACATCTTTGTTATTAATTACTCTACTTGGTGAGGTTTAGGCCTTCCTGCCCAAGGCGGATCGGACATTTGCTCTTCCAACCTTGGAAGGTTCCAAGGTTCCTACCTAAGCTGATTTCTCTTTTACCATCCATGGATTCCTCTACACAACGTCACTCTGAGATATCCGCTGTTCTCTAGACATTTTCCCCGAGCTTGCAATTTCACTCACTGATAACCTTGTGTTTTATCTAGAGACAGGAGGATATTCCAGCCTTGGAAGGTTACCACCTGCCGACCTGAGCTCATCATTCAACCGCCTGTTCCATCTACAGATCGAGCGCGTCAGACATGGCTGCAAGCGAGCTCAACCCCGTACAAGATCTCCAGTGTATTCAAAGCAAATCAACCACCCAGTTCGTCATTCCGGAACCGGACAAGTTGAATGGTCTTCCTCTGGAGCTCATAATATCAATATCGGACCTGCTCGAACCTGAAGATATCATTTGTCTCTCCATGTGCAATCGTCGACTCTTCGAGGCCCTCAGCTGCAAAAGAACACTTCTTTCACCCACAGAGTATGACGAGTTAGCGGTGCCGTATCGACTTCAACGTGACCTGCCAAACCACTTCCTTTGTTGGAGTTGCGATATTCTTCATACGTTTGACGGGCCGGAATGGTTTGCGTTATCGGATAGATACTCGGAGTGGCCTTCTCTCCTTCCATGTGCCAACAAATGGGAAGTGTGTAGGGAAGGATTGCATTTCAGGATCTGTTCCCTCCCGTTTATGGAGCAGTATGGAAAGTACTCTTCTTCACTCCAGTCCGTGATGAGATATTTCTATTGTGGTGTTCAGTATGGCGTTGGCACCGAATCGCTATACCACACCCAAGTCAATAAATATCCCGACGCAACCACTTTGTTTTCGATCGAACCACGGGTTTACCAGGTGCAAAAAGGCCTTCGTCTACAGATCCAAGAAATTCTCTTGGTTTATCATGCAAGGATGGGTCTTTTCATTCCTAAGGCACCGTTTCCAGATCGATCGTCTCCATATTACTTTTGGATCTGCGAGCATTTCTCTCGTCGGGAGATTCGACAACGTGTTAAATCTATTCTCTCAGCTTACCTTTCCGACACACCGATGTCTCCGTTAAGAGGCAACTGTGACAAATGCAACACAGATTTTGAGCTTCAAATGGAAGAGGTCCGTGGCAGGCTAGCCCTCATTCTCACAAAGTGGATCATCTTGGGCCCTGGCGCGAAACCAGATGATCCAGACTGGGGGAAGCGTGACCGTAAGGCAATTTTACAGGAGCCTGATTTCCAAGCGATTGACATGGCTGTGAGCCCCCGGGCCGCGTTTGAGACTGCCTGTGAAACCTCAATAGACGCCCTACGTTCACGCAATTTATCTTACCTTCGCAAAAGGAGGTACAAAGAGCTGATGATGGAAGTATGTGGCGGCCATGATATCTGGAGCTTGCCTCGCTATTAATATTGTAAGCACTGAGCGGGGATGTCAAGTTGAGGCTCTCAGAAAGATGAGTATGCTGCTCTACGACTTGTTGTACATTCGCCTTAGGTATTTGATGGTTAGTTCTTTACCTTCGCTGTCTTCAGTTTCTATAGCCACTCGCAACTTGTTCTCACACGACACGTTGGCCTCGTTTCCGTTAAGGCTCTAGCAGGATTCATACATAGGTGGAACTCGACTTTACGAATCTGTCACACGGCAAGAATTTTAATGGAATGAAAACATGCTTCAATTTGCTAAGCTAGTTCTAGCCAGACATGGATGGTCGTCCGTAGATAGACCTAGTCCTCTATTCACGAGCTAGGTCCGCTCGAATATCCGTTAAGATATCATGAACATGGGCAACTTTTTTCTTGACCGAGCAGAGTTGATCATGCGATGTCGATGTCTTGTACTCCTTCAACTTAGTAGAAGACGCCTCGATCTTATAGAAACGCACATACTCCCCGATGCTCACAATGCAGTATGACATGCGGTTAGGGTCACGGCTTTCCCACTTGATGCATCCATTTGAAAGTTGGTAAGGACAACGTTGGCCTTTGATTGGGAGGTTGTGGAGATGTACGCTTCTCGCTCGACTCCGTAATTGGCGCTCACAGGCGAATAGAAGGAAAGAATCTGAGCCCAGACGTGGTCAACACGATCTTCGAGACATCCTAGCTCAAGGCTCTCAAGGTAGGACATCCCACCAATAAAACTCCTCCTCTAAGACCAGTAATGGAATACTCAAGGGTGGTGACCGTCCACGGGTGGTAATACCCCTTCTTCCATTTCGGCTTCAATGTTGGTAACCCAAACCCCAATTCTATTCCCAGAGCAATATCCGTGCATGAAAACTTCATCCCCATGAATCTCTAGGCTTTGTAAAATCGAACGCGGGGCGAAACTCTGGGAGATAACACGGGGTCTTTCGTCGAAGAACTACAAGGATAGAATAATAGTTAGCAGATAGAAGTCGAATGGAGGAGGTGAAAGAGTAGAAGAGAGGGTAAGAATAATCTAATTACGGTCACATACCTTATTGGATGGCTGGCGGGCACACCTCCTCTTCTTAACGCTGGGCGGACTGATCAGACAGGCAGGACATGTCGGTTGGCACCGGCGGAAAAAGCGAGAATCTTGAAAAATGATAATCACAACCCCATCGACCAATTTAAAGACCTCCTTATACTCCTTCCCGAAGCTCTCCTGTTTGACCCTATAATTATAATTGGCCAGCTGGGTCGCCGTCTCCTCGGCCTTCTGCTGGACTTCCTCGGTACTACTGGCCCAGCAAGTTGTTCTTCCAACTTGATGAGGCAGTTCCGGACCTCTTTGGGAAGTAGTTAGGAATTTCTTGCCTGTAGAAAAACCGACCGACATCATCCTAACTTGACACTAAGACAATAGACCGCAGCAATCCCTCCCGTTCAGTAAAAGGTTCCTCATGGGGATCAATACAGTCATCCGGAACTGGAGGGTAGGGGAAGAGGCCTGGGTCTCCAGCGTATATCCGTTGTCTCTTTGACCTTGGCGTCGCAACATGAGTGCTAGACCTGATTACCCCTGGCATGATGAACCAAAAGTTGCTCAGTCCAGGAAACGTCCAAGACGAAGAACGACGGTGAACGGGCTTGATGGGTAGCCTATGCCCTGAATGGGCACACCTTGTGTAGCAACGAATTCATCAGGGCCGTAAACTGCCGATGTTAGTAAATTGCTTCACTGGATATGCGAACTATGTTGACAGGGTGTGAGGAATGCTGGGTCTGATATCCGCATAGAACATACCTTTCTTCTTCTTTCTCTGGCCCCAGTGAGCAATACGGTAGGCTGCCTCGTACGGCGAACGCTTCATGTCAAAACTTCCAGCATACAGTCCTCATCGCATTCTTCATCGCTGTGATTGCCCACGTTGATTCCTGGTCCACCCATGCCTTTCTTCCCTATATTCCTCCCAATCATCTCTGGGCCACGACCTTTATCATCGCCATGGGTGCCCACATTGATTTCAGAGTCAAACACGCCAGATCTGACAAACTTCTGCCCACAATGCTTTATAATTGGGCAACCTAAGGTCACAGCTAGCCCCACGGCCCATGTAATCCAGGAGAACGAAGTGGTGGTGGATGTTTCCTATTGAGGTGGAGTAGGAGTGGGATTATGTTGAGGATGGTAAGGGTCATCTTGAGGAGGGTAAGAATTCCTTTTCACTAGGCCTACTCGATACGTTAACCCTTTATACTCGAACGGGGCTGGCTCAATATATACATACCAGGAAATCAACGTGGAATTGCTCAGTCCGTGCAGCAAGATCTTGCACTTCCCCACGAAGGCTTTGGATGTTGGCCTTTTCTCAGGCACTTCAAATGACTCCCGGCCGTAAATGGATAGCCAGACGAGAACAGCATGCTAAAGCCTGGATTAACCTAATATTCTGATACTGTATTCTCAACATAAACGCATTTGTGTCATAGCATGCTGAGTAGACTCTGTTGCAACTTGGGTTGCATCATCTCTTAGGTGGGATGTACTCACAAGGCACTAAAAGAGGAATATTGGGGAAAGTGGACCTCTTTAATGAAGATATGGATGAGGTCCGGCGAGGTTCCAGGTGTGTCTTTAGAAGACGTGGTGAGCTGGGTCAAGTTAGTGAAGAAAATTCAGAATGGAATTTCACAGCTTACCGTCTTGGACATGTTTTTGGTTCCGACAAATCGCAGTGCTTCTTGGGCAAGTGAACACTCAAGAAGATTAAAAAAAAGAGATGGGAAAATGAAGGTGGAATTGTAAAAGGAGAAACAACTGGGCAGAGAATAGGTACCTATATAGGTACATATAGAAAGATAGAGCAACTCTTAATTGAACAAAGGGAAAGAGTGACGTCAAAGTGAGAGCTCGCAGTTGAAGAAGAGAAAGATCCCTGAAGAAAGAGAGAGATATATAGATATATGTAAATATAAAAGGCTTAGGGGCTTAAAATACGCATAGAAGGGATCCAAGAGGACAATTAGAAGGACACCTAAAAGGATAATTGAGAAGATAACTAAGAAGACATCTAAGAAATCGAAAAACACCCAAAAAGAACGTCCCAAAAAGCATCATAGTTAATGTTAACATTCCTAATGCCGTCTCGAGTTAACTATACTCGCATTAGCAAGACCAGCATCCTTATCTAGGTAAGTATAGAGGCCATGTGAGCGGCCGCTACAATATGTCTATGATGAAGCTAATACCGTATCTCCAATCTCCTCTGTATATCCTACATGTATACACGAAGGTAAAATAAGGCATATTTTAGGCATAAACTAAGCCTAGTTCGGACATAACCCCCAAAAATCAGGCATACGAAGCTTGGCCGTTATACACCTTCGCAGTGCGTCCGGACGGAGAGGGACAATCCCGCCTTCCCTCTCTTTCGTTTAGCGTCGCTCATCATCTCGGACGTTTCCTGGACTGTGAGCAACTTTTGGTGGTTCATCATGCCAGGGGTAATCAGGCCTAGCACTCATGTTGCGCCAAGATCAAAGAGACAAACGTATATACGCTGGAGACCCAGGCCTCTTCCCCTACCCTCCTCCAGTTCCGGATGACTGTATAGATCCCCATGAGGAACCTCCTACTAAACGGGATGGATTGCTACGGTCTATTGTCTTAGTGTCAAGTTAGGATGATCTCGGTCGGTTTTTCTATAGTGCAAGAAGTTGCTAATTGTTTTCTAGGGACAACTTCATCCGAATGGGGAAACAAAGAGGTTGCTACTACACGGGCCACTATAGAACCAACCATAACGCCACAGAACGAGGACTTGATTCGGACCTACCACCCTTCGCTAGGCCCAGTCGACGGCGTCTGGGTCACGAAAGAGTCAAACGAGAAGTCTATCTGGTTAGTTGCTCCTGGTCCTCTCGACCTCCCGGCTGGCCTAGCTGCACCGTCGACTGTATGTTTCGCAGAACAACCGGATCCCCTCAAAGCAGTTCTCAATCCACGGAGATTCCTCCAATCGCACGACCTTCATGTTCTCCGGGAGATGTTTCCTCTGGCTGTCGGTGCCCGAGTTCTTATCAGCGGATTCATCGTTATTCTGTTCAAGTCTCCCGTCCCTTTCTAAAGGAATCGTAGCAGTATATATTTGTTCCAAAATGCTAGTAATTACATCGAAAAGCAGAGATATGTATGCAGAGATATGTGCAAATGAATCAAAGCCGAAAGGGCCAAAGTCCCAAGTGGTCGCTATGCACTGTAATACCCAAAACAGCTAAACAGATGAACAATGGCGTGAGTAAACCGAACAAGGGATCGTAAAACTGCAAGTGGAGAAATCCGAGAAATCGTCTGATTATCTGTGTTATCGGTTTGACGATCATGTCGATGGGGAATCGACAACTCGAACCCGCCATTATGTGCATGATTGAACAAATTGTGCTGCACGAAGGCCACGGCACGGTATGTGTATATGTGTGAGTTCCGGAACCTGTCCGGCTGGATCTGGGTCACATTTGGCCGGTGCCTGACCGGTGCCTGACCGGTCCCTAGCAACATAATCTTCGGATTCTCTGCTCCTGGCCGAATCAATGACATCGCCCGAGAGAACTTCAAGATGTCTTCGGTTCATCGGGACTATACTTCCAGCGTCGGTGATTCTCTGCAATCCACCACTGGGAGACATGGGCGGCCTCGCTAAGCCACCTTGCAGCTTCGGGCCCGTGTCGTGTCTGCACAATATCAAACAGAGTCACGATATTGAGATCCTCCTCGGGATCGAACTCGAATGGGTCAGCAACAACATCGGTGAAACGCCATGGAGCATCTTGGATGAGCGGCACGACGAGCCGGTAGGGTTTCGCGGCTGCTCGCATAGAGACCCACGTTCCTCCAGGGTTCATCGTGGAGAAATGCCACTCTTGCTTCTTATCCTGCCCGGGGATAAGTGGGCGTAGCAACGACTGGCCCTCGTATAAGGGAAGCAGGTCCTTCAATATATGTGCCGACTCTTCGTTGATGTTAGAGGTTTCGATTAGAATGTCAAGGAGGCTAGGAAGAATTTGAGTCGAGAGGACGGCGCTACTGATTTCGACCGATGGTAGCTTAGGATGTGCGAAGAGTAGCGGAACGTGGAAACTGCCGACGTGGGGGTCATGGTTGGCCGTTATACCACCATCATTTGGAAGAGATAAACCGCTGTAATCAAGTCAATGGAAAGTGTGGTAGGTTGTAAGAAATCGGCAGAACTTACTGGTCACCTGCCATGACAAGCAGGGTTTCATCGGCGACCCCAGCCTCGTCGAGAACCTCAAGGATTGAGGCCAGCCAGTCGTCCTGATACTTGATGGTATTTAGGTACCGGTTCAACTTATCGTTCCACCCAGCGCCATTCCCAAAGTATTCCTCGTAGTCGCCAGGCTTGAACCAAGGAGTATGGGTATTGTGAGTTAGGTGGCCGATAAAGAGGCGAGTGTTGTTCTTCTTAGCCTCGGCGAATGCATCCCGCATATAGTTCTTCAATGTGTGATCCGGATGACCATATTTCTGCTCGTCCTCTGGTTCCTCTGGGATGTATATAGCACCGGCTTCATTGATGGATTCTTTTGTCGTGATATCTTTGAATCCCATAACAGGAGTAAGGTCTTCCTGGTGGTCCCAGGTGCCGTAGTGGGACTGCATCCACTTAGAATGCCATGGCCAGGACGTCCAATCGTCAGTGTCACTGGTGATATTGGATTGTTGGCTCAACGCATGGAATATGTGAGGCAGACAAGGCTGGTAAATATCGTGCAGGTACTCAAGATTATCTTGAACGGCCATGGGGCTCACACCGCACATAGTGCCTGTGATACTCTTCATGGTGTAAGTACCGGATGTGTAAGCATTTTTCGCGCTAAGGCCACCGTATGGCTTTGGACGATCCTTGTTCTCCTTGAACCCAGTCTCGAATCCGGTGAACCTTTCGGCGATGGGGGTGAGATTCGCGAGTTTATCCATAACCTCGTCGGGGATGTTTCCGTTCCAGGAGTTTTTGATGTGCTCCATGATGTACGAGTCGGAGCGGAACGGAAACACGTCCTGCCTGATTGCTCTCTAATTTGATGAGAATAATATGCTTGATCTTGACGTCTCCGCTGTGGAGCACGTCACGAATGGGCTCCAGAATGTCGTTCTGGAGGTTGGGAATGTGCAAAGGATCTTTCATCGGATTGTAGTGTTCATACGTATAGTTCTTGGGTGCGGTGTTGTTGGAGTGACTTGTGTGGAAGGGAGACCAATTCGGGAAGGCAGTTGCCGCATCACCCGTATGTAACCAATCGAATGTCGGGAAGGAATCTAGAGCAGTTTTGCCTTCTAGCCAGGTGAAATCACCCGGCAACGATGCGATACCTTGCTCAGAAGACCCAAGCTTGAGGCCGCCAAATGGGGCTAGAGGCAGAGATCCGGAGAGAAAACTGTAAGTCATATCGTGGGGACGAATGACCCGGAGAAGAAGTAGGATTGCGCTGCACGATACAACGATGATAGGCTTCAGCAATGCCCGACTTTTCTGTACAGGCGGGTGTTGAGGTGCATCTAGCCCCGATATGGAGTCGTTGTCGTCATCACCCACTTCATAGTCATCGATTGCAATTTGCTCGTAGGTATCCGGGTGTGGCAGAACCTGCTTATTCCGACGGAAGTAGCGGTACGTCGCGGATAACACTGCACCCCAGACTCTCAGGAAAGCTGCGGTGACCCACGATAGATACGGTGTGGCGTAGAATGCGCCGACCAAAATCGACGCCTCAAGAAGGATAGCGACGAACAGGGCAGACAGAACAGTTATGGCGGAGGGCTTGCCCTTGTGGAAGCCGCTCGATATGCGCCAGTGGATCTCCACGCCCTTGTGAATGTAAAAGGAGAGGTTGGCGGAAAACATCGACGAGGCGTATAAACTGGGGGATAATTAGCAATTCGCTATTTGTCCGTGAATTTGATGAAAGCCTGCCTACCTGAACAGCGCAATAAATACAGCCGCTATATCCCGAGTCGTTCGCCATTCGTATGATCGGGCCAGGCTGCGCGCGCCCAGAATGAGCAGGATATCCAGCAAAAAGAAGGTGGGGCCCCAGGCGAGAAGGGATAGGGCCGTCAGGGCATTGAGATGGGCGTAGATATGGAAGGCTTTGGAGAAGACGAGGGAGATAAAAATAACTGAAAAGAAATATGCGCGGTAGGCTGCCCAGGCGCGGTCGAGGTGGGCTTGAGGGGATCTGGCGACTTCGAGGGCGATTATGGCCGCAGATTCAAGCTTTCCGCGCAGCCGCTGGGAAAGACCCCCTTGCAGCTCCCAGGCAGGTTTCATAATATATGTACAGAAAAAAAGCAATGGAATGTGTCAAATCATGCAAGAATGTTGCACCTGAGACAAAGGGATGGAAATTTCCCCATGGATGTAAAGAGGCGTAAAAGGGAGAAGAACTTTGGAATGCGATAATATTGAAACAGAAATACCTGAACTTCGAAAGAAGAATCGAAGCAAGACACAGGGTCCACTGATCCACACAGCCATGAAGGATCCAAAATAAAACACATCCCCCACTTGGCACACGTGCCCAGAGATGCATTATGTGTGCAAATAATATCCTGATGTCTATGGCAGGTAACGATCAGCAAACCCTGTCATCATAAGGTGGAATATCCCCAATCTGAGATATCCGGCCCCCGCCAAGAACACCCAAAATAGCAGGTGAGCACGCGATGGGAATGGCCCCCAAGGACACTGAACTTATTCCAGGGGATGAACATGGAAACATGGAGAACTGCCGGGAAGGTATCAAGCACCATTGGGCTACTCCATATATACGGCCATAGCAAATTACTACCTAGGTATCAATACTATCATAAAACTGTCCTTTTCAAACTTCTTGAGGCGTTTGTGGAGATGGGCTTGGCAAAGCCGCAAGACACGTACTGGGCTCCACCCGGGACATCGGTCTCACTTAAGCACCTCCAGGGTCCATGTTGTAGGGATTGGCATTTAATGGGAAAGCTTCTCATTGTAATATTGAACTTATTAGTGAGCATGCTTGCTCCCGAGAAGTAGTCTAATACCTTTGTTGAGTTAGATTTCCTTCTCTTTCGGAAGGTTCGTCCCCTAAGTTCTGGGCTTTCTCACACACAATGGAGGCTGCTCAGTTTGAGAAGCTTTGCCTTGCTGCTGTGAGGTTGTTTGCCGAGGTTGGGAAGCGGATAGCGAGCGACTGCTGCTGCTGGTGCCATCACCACCGTTGTCTTCTTCGTCAAATCCTATCATTGTGACAAAAACTGATCAATGTAAAATTGTGGAGAAGACACTTGTGAAAATCTTCTTCACAATCATCGGGACAAATCCCATTGACACCAGTATGTCATGAAGAAGACGGTACCGCTCCCGAGGACTTTTACTTGAATTCGTAGATTGTTTGCTCAAGAAGGCTAATAAAGCCAGGATATGGATCCTGTTGCCCTTCGGAATGCTCAATTTCAATAAGCTCCTTCAGCTCTGCATAACTGAGTGCAACCATAATGTTAAAATCATAAAGGAACCAACCCTTTGCGGCTGCAATAGCAGTGGATATCTTGAATGACATGGGCTTAGCCACAACAGCAGACTTGAAGAAGCCACAGCCTATGGGCCATGTTGCGATACGAAAAAAGGAAGAAGAAATTTATAAGAGGCAAACAACCAACATCGTAGCGCAGCTAGGACCATTTTACAAGGCGCAAGGAATATATAACGGATGCTAGATTTTCACATCAAGGTTTCTGGCCCCAACTGGCGTAGCTAGGTATATGATTTGTGAAAGCTGTATACAATAATACTAAGGATATATACTACAGTACGGAAGACTAATCAATAGCAAGGCAACCTCTCAATGGAATCCAAAGTCCGCCGGTGACCAAGCTTTATAACATCGGCGCAGAAGATATCCGTACTCTCCATACAAGACATCGGACATCCCCCGAGAACCCCACCGCCACCCCACCGATCATAACGACACAATCCCCGGACTAAACCTGGGTAACATACATCTATCCTTATTTTGAAGAACCAACCAAAATGCCAGTTTATCACATTGGTTAGTTGGACACAGCTGAATGCCAAAAAGATACGGAATTATTGATCACTAACAAAGCTCCAAGTCCTCTTCCGCCTTAAGCCCGGCGTCACCCCGGCCCAGATCGCCACCTGGAAAGAGACATGTCAGGGAATGGTGGGGAAGATTCCTGGTTCGTGAGACTATAAAGCTTAGATTGAGACATAGTCTTATATATGACTTGCGATAGGACTGCTGTCGCTGCAGAGCGGTCCCCCGCTGCCAATCTCGCTTCCGCGTGCCCAGGGCTTCGACATGGGACTTGTTGCTGTGTTGGAGACCGCTGAGCATATCGCTACTTATGCAGTACACCCTGCTCATTTGGAGTAAGTTCCCTTTGTCCTTGGATCCCTTGGATCAGGGAGGACCGTGGGTTGATTTGCTGACGCCTTGAAGGGTTCATAAAATGCGAGAGGAGCTGTGCGACGATACTTTGGCCTATGATCTGGAGTTCTAGATATCTGATATACCAACATTGAAGTCATATAGGAAGTCTAGTCCTAGGTTACTCCTAGACTTTTCGTGATAGGAAGGATTTTGAGAACAGTCCGTTCAAATGTCTCATTTGTACATATCAAACCCTGGGCCCCGGTTAATCGTAGCCACCGAGGCCTAGCCAACCCGTAGATGCTCGTAATGAAATGACATAACGCCGAGAGAAGGTTCACCTGTATGAAATAATCGGAAAACAGAGGCAGGTCGGATCTCCAATCCGCAATACTTTTTGAATCCCGCCGATCGACCGAAATCAGAGAACAAGAATTAAAGACAAGACAAGTCATTGCAATCCGCCGAAACTAGATACCTTATTCCTTGGCATCAACCTTCTTAGCGGGGTGTTCGCCACCGTTGGTGCCCTCGTCCTCGCGGGAGCGCTTCTGGGTGCTCTGCACGACTGGGACGCCACTATAATTAAGGTCAGTACTTATTCACTCACTACAGATATCTGATCAGTTTGACTTACCGAGAGTCCTTCTGAGCCTCACGGGGAGCCTGGAAGCCGTTCTTCTGGTCCTCGGTGCGGCGTTCGCGCCAGTCGCGGTCGTTACGGTCGTTGCGGTCACGACCATCACGGCCGCCACGGCCACGGCCACCACCACGACCACGACCGCCGCGACCACCACGACCGCCACGTCCACGGCCACCGGTGTTGCGGGCGTTGGAGGGGTAGACGTTGCCATTCTTGATCTCCTCGACCTTCTCGTCGCAGTACTCCTTCTTGCTCTTGAAGATCAGATCATTCTCCTTCCACTGGGGCTTCTTCTCCAGAGCGAGGAAGGCCTTCTGCTTCTCCTCAGACTCGAACTCAACAAAGACGCTGCCCTTGAATGTCTTGTCGTTGGTGCGGCGCAGACGGATGGCGTTTGTGGGACCGTAGGGGGCGAAAAGAGCCTCAATATCGAGCTGTGTAGTGGGCTCCTCCTCACCAAAGCCGAAGCCCTTGACGTAGATGGAGCGGGCCATGGCGGCATCCTCGAAGACCTTGACGGCCTTGGCATCGTGCTCGTTCACGGACTCGGGCAGAGGGACCTTGCGCTTGACGGCGGTGTCGTTATCAGTCAGCTCGACGTTCTCTGAGGTCTTGAGGGCCTCGACAATTGCGCTGAAGGGTTGGAAGCGGCGCATGCGCTTGAAGGAGTGAAGGAGCTCAAGGGGCACGGCGTTGTTGGCGCTGCCGCCAACCTTGGAGAGAAGGAACTTGTCCATAGGGAGGTTGGAATCGGAGAAGTAGAATTCGACCTACGGTGTGCGCGTCAGTTAAGATCTAGTGGGGGAGCCTCTCTAATGGTTCATACCTGCTTGCGGATCTGCACAGGGTCGTCGGTTACTTCCTGGGTGGAGGGATCGAACTTGGCGTTGTTCTGGCGAGGGCCACGGTTACCGCGGCCATCGCGCTGGAAGGTGCGGGTCTCGCGCTTCTCAGTCTGGGGCTCTGTGGTCTTCTCCTCGGCCTTCTCAGACTTCTCTCCGAGCTTAGCAGCTTCGGCGACAATGCGGGCCTCGTCGGCGTCCTGAGCGGGCTGCTCGGCGGCGCCTTCCTCCTTCAGCTCAGCGAGGACATTCTGGACATCCTTCTCAGCCTCGGCGTTGACAACTGGGGTCTTTTGTTCTTCGGCCATTGTTGCGAATTGTATGCGGAGACTATTTCGGTTAAAAAAAAAAAGGATGATAAGCAGGAAGATTCGACGCGACGGAGATGTCAGAAAATGCAGAAAATGCAGGTGAACAAGGGATCGGAGGAGACCTATGGATAATCCAGGGACATATGAACAATACCTTTATAGATTGATTAATGCGCTATTCAGAATGCTATTGCGCTTGTGACAGTATCGCAGCGGGGAGGATCTGGGAATTTTTTTTTGAGCTCCAGTGGCGCCTGAGGCAGACGCTAGTCTGCAATTGGTTAGCGTAGACTCGTACTATTCCCTTTCGGGCAATTTGACGTTGTCTATACATTGTCTTCTATTGTCTGCATTGTATTTGAAGAATTGGAATGACAATAGATGAGTAGATGTATAAATAGCAATTGTCTCAGGCGGAAGTATTGGTCTGACCACGATACTGACATTATGTACTCATATTTTACGTCCTGAGGTCAACATCGTCAAAGTGCAAGCACCTGACGCACATTGCACCTTCCCAAAGGCCGTGACCAGTGTCCAAGGAAGGTTCCAATGTTGCTTACCTAGGTATTAATGTGCTGACTTTATTTCTCTCCCCTTTCTGGAGAAACCTCGTTTCGTGCACATTTTGTCACAGGGAATTCACTCTTATCAAATATCACATCCATGAATATCTTCAATTGAGTATTCTTTCCAGGACGGTAGTGACTTGGGCACCCCATTCACCTCCAGGATAGTAACGCTATAAGGCCTAGGTAGTGAGTAGCTGCCTGTCGAATTTGAGATCCCCAGTTCTGCTAATCATACATGATGTCCAGGCCGTTATTCTCCATATACAATACTTTTGGACCCTTCAACTTGCACTTGAGGTGCTGCTTTCGGCATCCAATAGGTTGGGAAAGAGCTTCGCCAAATCAAAATGATCCTATCACAAAGGGGTTCGTCGGTCCACGAGACCTGGCCGACCAAGGATGTATGCTCCCCCCTCTGGGTTTCTGATGCCATCCTGACCATCCTCAACAGATAATATACCTCTCAATTGTCGGGCCATTGATGCTTGCAGCCCTATTTGAATGGGTTCTCTGGCTAAGCGCCTTCATCTACTGCCTGGTCAAGGTGTGGATGAAAGCAGACAATCGGAGTGTAAGGGTTCTGGCCGTGGTGATGATTTTCTTGTTCACAGTGATACGGTAGGTTCCTTGAACATCAGGGACTCGTTACCTCGCAGCTTCATTTAGAGTCCTCTCAACTGACGAACACATATGATAGATTGGCATTCCTTCCAGTCATGCTCGTGACACTGCCGTTGCCACCACAGATCACAGTTCACTTACCCCGCGAAATAGTGCATGGGTTTCAAGTGTTTGCATTTTGGGCTTTTTCTGTTCTTCTGGTCGGCCCATGGCTATTCTGTGTTTACGGTCTCACTACAAATTCACTTGGGAGAAAAAAGAGGATCAAACGAGTGCTGGATGATCGAACGGCCCCGAAGACTGTGGTTGTGATGCCAGTATACAAGGAGGACCCAACAGTCTTGATTAAAGCCATCAACTCCGTGGTTGACTGCGACTATCCTGCAAATTGCATCCATGTCTTTCTTTCGTACGATGGCGGCAAGGTCGACGAGCCGTATCTCCGTGTCCTCGACCATCTCGGTATTCCGATCACACTGGAGAGCTATCCTCAGAGCATTGACTGTATATACAAGGGCGCACGGATCACGGTATCTCGCTTCAAACATGGCGGTAAAAGGCACTGCCAAAAGCATACTTTCAAGCTCATCGACAAGGTGTATGCTGATTACCTGAAGAGACATGACAATCTGTTCGTCCTTTTTATCGATTCCGATTGCATCCTTGATCGAGTTTGCTTGCAGAACTTCATGTACGACATGGAACTTAAGCCAGGCAGCAAACGCAATATGCTTGCAATGACGGGCATCATTACATCGACGACGGAGAAAAACAGCTTGCTGACGATTCTCCAGGACATGGAATACGTCCATGGTCAGCTTCTTGAACGATCCGTTGAGTCTGGCTGCGGCGCAGTGACCTGCCTCCCTGGAGCTTTGACTATTTTACGCTTCTCCGCTTTCCGTAAGATGGCCAAGTATTACTTTGCGGACAAGGCTGAGCAATGTGACGATCTCTTCGACTACGGAAAATGTCATCTTGGAGAAGACCGATGGCTAACCCACTTGTTCATGATTGGTGCCACGGAGCGGTATCAAATTCAACTATGTATGAGCGCCTTCTGCAAGACCGAAGCCGTCCAGACCTTTAGTACTCTCTTGAAGCAACGCCGACGATGGTTTTTAGGTTTCATCACAAACGAGGTTTGCATGATCACTGATACTCGGCTCTGGGTGCGCTATCCCCTTCTATGTCTGGTTCGATTCATGCAAAACACGATCCGAACGACTGCTCTGCTCTTCTTCATGATGATTGTCTCACTGCTTACGACATCAAAGAAGGCAAAAGATCTTCCTGTGGGATTCATGGGGGTCTCGTTGGGGTTAAATTATCTACTCATGCTGTACTTTGGACTACGTCTCGGACGCTATAAAGCCTGGCTTTACCCAATCATGTTCATTGTTAACCCGTTCTTCAACTGGATCTACATGGTCTATGGCATTTTCACAGCCGGTCAGCGAACTTGGGGTGGACCACGGGCCGATGCTGCCACTGCTGATGACCATACCACGCCAGGAGAAGCAGTTGAACGGGCAAAAGAGCAGGGCGATGAGTTCAATGTGAATGTTGATACCTTCCGCACCGGTATTGTGCGCCGGAAATCTGTCCCTATCCGCCCATCGGAGAATGTGGAAGGTCGACTTGCACCTGCCAAGCAGCAGGTTGATGGGTTTTATGTCAACACTACCGGCCCTGGGCCCGCACTCGCACGAATGGTCAGCGCAATGGAAAATCCAAATTCTCAGTACCAGTTACCTGCTCACTTTCGCCATTCGACTGACTCTGTGCTCAGTGGATCGGATTGCGGTTCTAGCTCGATTGCCACACCACAGAACGTGGAAACACTCCTGATGAGTGAAGAAGACCAAAAGAAGCCCTATTATGCCCGCCAAGCCCGGGCATCAACGGGCTCGGTGAGCGTCGATGGTCACTATTCGGAGAACCACTTTCATGATGGAGTCACTCCGAAGCCTATGGGTTCTGCATCCGAGCACGATGACCTTGGACTGACCCGTCCATCAGGCACATACCATACCGGACGCTCTGAAAACATCCCTCCGGCCTACAGAGAGTCAGAATACATGGTGCCGAGCGACTTGGCGCCGAGCTCCTTTCAAACCCCGTGACCCACCTCATGATATTATTGTCTAACAGGAACATATGTACCGTGCATGACGTCAGTTTTAGTCCTTTTCCTCTTTTTTTCCCTTTTTTTTCTCCTTTTTTTTTTTTCAGTTCGACTGCTTCGCCGCTCGGCATAGGTTTTTTTGACCATCCTATTCTTATTTTTTTTTTAGCCTGGGGATCTTGCTTTTCTCTCAATTCTATAGCTTTTAGAATCCAAAACAACATTCAAGTCCAAAGAACATATGTAGCCAATGACCCACCGTAGATTCCTCATAGGGCGGTGATCAGATTTTTAATTCTGCCAGAAAACCAGTAGGCGGTGAAAGTGGGTAGTCCAGCAGCCGCCAGAAGGTTCGATGAGGTACCAGCACAGTCCGGATGCTAAGAAAGGTATATAGACCAGTCAGAGAGAGGAAATGAATGAAAGAAAGCACATTCTGATACATTTTACGTTATCCATTTATACCCCAAATTTGCAAATCCCTTAGTTCGGCGCCTAAAGATCAGCCAGACCGCTTGACACTTGGTCATCGCCCCTCCAATAATAGTGGAGTGGCGTGCAAATTCTCCCCTCCGACTTCCTCTCACTTTTCTTCGTTTGAATCTTCCATCTCCCACTCCCTCCCTACCTCCCATATTCCCCTACTTTCTTCCATAATGAGTGTCGTCGGTATAGATCTGGGTGCGCAAAGCACCAAGATTGGTGTTGCCCGCAACAAGGGCATTGACATTGTGCGTATCACCCCACGGTCTTGCTTCGGATTTACAGTCTTCGAGATGGATCATGACCTCACAAATATGAGCAATTGCGCTAACTACTTGTTGACATTATAGATTGCCAATGAGGTTTCTAACCGCCAGACCCCGTACGTTCCATAACCCCCCCGCTGGCCACTGGATAACTGAATACTGATTTGAAATTATTTTAGTTCCGTCGTTGGATTCACACCTCGCAGCCGCGCCCTCGGTGAGGCCGCCAAGGGTGGAGAAATCTCGAACCTGAAGAACACCGTCGGCTCTCTCAAGCGCCTGATCGGCCGTTCTTTCAACGATCCCGATGTCGCCATCGAGCAGGAATACAACACATGCAACCTGGTCGACGTCGATGGCCAGGCCGGTGTCGAGGTCAGCTACCTTGGCAAGAAGGAGAAGTTCACAGCCACTCAATTGGTCGCTTCCTACCTTTCCAAGATCAAAGACATCACCGCCAAGGAACTGCGCGCTCCCGTCTCCGACGTCACCATCAGCGTTCCTGCTTGGTTCACTGATGTGCAACGCCGCGCTATGATCGACGCTGGTGATATCGCCGGTCTCAACGTCCTGCGTCTCATCAACGACACCACTGCTACCGCTCTCGGTTGGGGTATCACCAAGCTGGATCTCCCTACCCCCGAGGAGAAGCCCCGCCGTGTTATGTTCATCGACATTGGTTACTCCGACTACACTGCCTCCATTGTTGAGTTCCGCAAGGGTGAACTCAACGTGAAGGCTACCGCCTACGATCGTCACTTCGGTGGCCGTAACTTCGACAAGGCTCTCACCGAGCACCTCGCTGTCGAGTTCAAGGAGAAGTTCAAGGTTGACATCCACACTAACGGCAAGGCCTGGACCCGCACCTTGGTTGCCGCCGAGAAGCTCAAGAAGGTTCTGTCCGCTAACGCCCAGGCACCCCTGAGTGTGGAGTCCCTCATGGATGACACTGATGTCCGCGCTATGCTAAAGCGTGAGGAGCTCGAGCTCATGGTCAAGCCTCTCCTTGACCGCCTGACCGTTCCTCTGGAGCAGGCACTCTCCGAGGCCAAGCTCCAGGTTGGAGACATCGACCAGATCGAGATGGTTGGTGGCTGCACCCGTGTCCCCGCTATCAAGGAGACCATTAGCAAGTTCTTCGGCAAGGGTCTGTCCTTCACCCTGAACCAGGATGAGGCCATTGCCCGCGGTTGTGCCTTCAGCTGTGCTACCCTCTCCCCCGTTTTCCGTGTCCGTGACTTCGCCGTCCACGACATTGTCAACTACCCCATCGACTTCACCTGGGAGCAGTCTCCCGAGATCCCCGATGAGGACACTAGCCTCACTGTCTTCAGCCGTGGCAATGTTATGCCTTCCACCAAGATTCTCACTTTCTACCGCAAGCAGCCCTTCGATCTCGAGGCCCGCTACTCCGATGTCGAGGCTATGCCCGGCAAGGTCAACCCCTGGATTGGCCGCTTCTCCGTTAAGGGCGTCCAGGCCGATGACAAGAACGACTTCATGATCTGCAAGCTCAAGGCCCGTCTCAACCTGCACGGTATCCTCAACGTCGAGTCTGGATACTACGTCGAGGATATGGAGGTCGAGGAGCCCGTCGAGGAGGAGAAGAAGGAGGATGAGATGGACACCGACTCCAAGGAGGAGCAGCCCAAGAAGACCCGCAAGGTTAAGAAGCAGGTTCGCAAGGGTGATCTCCCCATTGCCTCCGCTACCGGCGGCTTCGACCAGGCTACCAAGGAGGCCTGGACCGAGCGCGAGAACGCCATGTACATGGAGGACAAGCTTGTCGCCGAGACCGACGAGAAGAAGAACGAGCTCGAGGCCTCCATCTACGAGCTCCGTGATAAGATCGATGGCGTGTACTCCGAGTTCGCCAGCGAGGAGGAGAAGGAGAAGTTGAAGGCCAAGCTCATGGACACCGAGGTGAGTTTCGAACCAGCATTGTTCAATAATTTCTATGGTCAGCCATACTAACGCATCATTTCAGGACTGGCTCTACGAGGAAGGTGAGGACACCATCAAGTCCGTCTACGTCGCCAAGATGGATGACATCCGCTTCATCGCCGGCCCTATCATCCAGCGCTACAAGGAGAAGGTCGAGGCCGAGCGTGACGCCGTCCGCAAGGCCGAGGAGGAGGCCGCCGCTAAGCGCCGCGCCGAGCTCGAGGCCAAGAAGGCCGAAGAGGAGGCCGCCAAGAAGGGCACCGAGGGCGATGCCGAGATGAAGGATGCCCCCGCCGAAGGCGAGGCCCAGGCCGAGACTGAGGAGAAGCAGTAGATGCATTCCATTTCATGATACTGGAATGACCTGATGTGTTTTACTTACTTTTGGGTTGATGGAAACCCCGATTCCAAAACCGCGCTTTACTCTGACCAATTTGGGTGAATCGTGTTATGACGAAAAGGACCTTTTTAAAGAGATGTTTCATGGAGCTAGATATTTCGATCGGCTTTTAATCGTTGGGCCAATTTTTTTTTTGTTATAATGGCAAACGGTTATGATGTAGATCGTTCCTGTTCCCTTTGATGTTATGAATAGATGAAAATACACCCAATGCCTTTGTCTTCAATTCTCGAGACCCTATAGAATAAGTAACATGTCTCGTTGCTGAAGTGACTCGACCTTAAAAGCACGTTCGCATGTATATCAAACTCGCTTTCTCTAGTAGACTTTACATCACAAGGCCATTGTGAACTTCTAGATGGCTTGCTATGATAGCAAGCATACCTAGGAAGCAATCACATGGGATGAGACATGGCAAAGACTAACAACGTGCTCGTTTGTTGATCGCTTATGATAGTCAAAGACCAGAAGCAAACTTGATTTTCTTATTCCTTCTGGTTGTGACAACTCTCCCTCCCTCTCTCTCTTTACTTCTTCCCTCTTTTTCTATCCCTTTGATCGGCCATTACTTCTTACATTGTGCCAGACCATCAAGATTCAGTTCTGTCCAAGATGGAGCAAGATCAGGACAAACGCATGATCCTCCACCTCCTTCTTGAGGATCTTGAGGATCTAGAAAACAGACAGAAGGGAAAACTGGCTGCTGGAAAGAGAACAGATTTTGAAATTGCCATCGCGAGTTTGAGGGACGATATTCGGACCCTGCAGGTCTCCATCGAGGATGAGATATTGGCGCTTAGCACGAGTACTGCAATCGCAACTGATCAGAAGATACTAGCAGCTCTTCAACACGAGGAAAGAGTTGCTACACAGGACCGCCAATTCGCCCTCGCTATTCACAACGGATCAACGTCTGATCGCATGTTAAATCGCCCAACGGTCAATGAGGCGACACCTCCAGACGACGATGACGATGCCGTTTCCACCATCATGGGTGACCTCATGGGCCGGGTGTCTTTAAGTGAAAAGACATCCGACAACGGCGAAGGCTCCTCGTTCGTACACGCATCCCGAGCGAGCAGCCTCATAAGAGAATGTGATTCTTGTCTCACCACGGTCGACACTATAATGTTCAAGGGCCCGTGTGGCCACGAGTTTTGCCGCGACTGTACAAGACAGATGTTTCTCGGTGCCATCAAAGACGAGGAGTTGTATCCGCCACGTTGCTGCGGCAATGTTGTACCACCTGGAGTTGCTTTGAGAGTCCTTAACTATGAGGAGCTTCGACGTTTCAGCGAAAGGGCCCTTGAATGGACCACGAAGGACCGCCTCTATTGCGCCGAGCCAACATGTTCGAAATTCATTCCTCCCTTCGCTATCCAGCACGAGCATGGCACCTGCCCCGAATGTCACCGGCAGACTCATGTACTATGTCGTTCCCTCGCCCACCCCCGTGTCGATTGCCCAATGGACGAACCTCTCCATGCTGTGCTGGAAATGGCGGATGCTGCGAACTGGAAGCGGTGCTTCAACTGCAAAACTATGGTAGAGCTCCGCCACGGCTGCAACCATATGACCTGTCGGTAAGCATTGTCTATAACAAGTATGCTATCGTGCATGAAGACAAAGACTAACGATTGGTAGCTGCGGCCGCGAATTTTGTTATGTGTGTGGCTCGGTCTGGAAATCATGCCAGTGCCCACTTTGGCACGAGGACAGGCTTGAGGAAGTGGCAATCCGGGCGGTACATGAGGAGGTGCCGGCCGATGCTGATGTCCATGTCCGCCAAGACGCGTTTCACCGGATAGTCGAGGACTTGCGGCACCACGAGGACAACGGGTGCGAGCATCACAGGAACTCGCAATGGGTTTGGCGCAACAATGGGAGTTTGCAGTGTGAGGTCGGCAACCATTACCTGCCTGAGTACATTTTTATGTGCACAGGTTGCCGGATGCGGGCTTGCAACCGTTGTCGAAGACACAGATTGAGGTAGTTCTTTGTTGCTTCTGGCTTTTGGGTTTGTTAGGTTGCAGGTAGAGGCTGAAGAACTGAAGGACAGCTGGGAGACATAAGTTTGTGGTTTCTGGTGACTGAATTTCTAATCATTCGGACGCGGTCTGTATGGTAAAAGTGGAAGGAAGGGCGTCATTCTCAACTGTCAATGTGTCGGGTTCCTCTTCGAGCCTTGGGGGTTCGCCAATCGGCATCTGATCGTATGTTACTTTTAGCATAGGTGTCCTGCTCGCAATTGGTGCAATTGTGACCGGAAGTCAAAAAAAACATTGAATATATTTCTGCCTTCTTCGACCAGCGGAGTTAATATCCATGTAAAGATATAGTTTGTCTAGCACTTTTTACAGTATCAACTTCTATAGTCAATAGAATAGACATATACTAGCTTTGTGAAATGTTATGCTGGCACAATACGATATGGCGCACTGGCGGTTATACGCTGCCGTACCTACACGTTCAAATCCGGTAGAGGGCCATATTGATACTTGATATCCTTAATATTTCCCCTCCTCTTCCACGCAGCCCATTGAAACAAGCACAACCGAAAGGCATGAAGTATACTAAACGCAATAATATTGGATCAGACATTAGTTCCGCCAACGTCATCTTCTAATCAACATAACCTCAGGGAAATGCCTCCTCCTGTATCGGGGTTCTCTCTAACATGACATCCAGGCACTGCGAGCTAGCCATCCATAAACATAAACCGTTGCCCGTGGGGGCAGATCATCCTAAGATATATATTCAATCAATCAATCAATCCTTCGTATGCCTTGTCGAAGTCCCCTTCTCCACATCACTAGCATCAGACTCATTCTCGGACTCATCCTTGCGATTGAACTTCATCGTCTGTCCCAGACGACGGAACCCGCTCCCAAACGGCCGCCAGATCCAGTGCATCCCCCGACTAAGCGGACGATACACCATGACGAACGGCTTGCCGACAACGTGGGCGATAGCCGCAAACCAGGGGTCGGGAATGTGCGGATGACCATGGCCCAGGGGAGTGAAAATGCAGCCACCACGATACAAATGGCCCATTGGACCCCATTGATGGGGACGATGCTGAAGGCGACGCCGCCGTAGTTGGCGATTAGGGCTTGACAGCCGACCATGATGATGTTGATGCCGATGAAGAACCAGTTGCGGTGGAGACCGGTTAGCACGTTGAATTTGTTGTCGAGGCGTCGGTTGTTGAATTCGTTGAAGATCTGCATCCAGACGAAGGTGTTGAAGACGACGGAGCGTCGGACGTCGTCTTCGTAGTCTAGGAAGCCTGGGGCTTTGACGAAGTGCATGATTAGGGTCACGGTTAGTTGGAAGATGGCTTGGCCGATTATCATCTTCCACATCGTTGTTGAGAAGAGCGGGGCGCCGCCTTTGATGGGTTTGCGGTCGAGGATTTGTTCGGTTGGGGGGTCTGTTGCTAGTGCTAAGGCAGCTAGGGAGTCCCTATATAGATGGTTAGTATTGTCTTGAGAGGTGAAAAAGGGGTGACTTACATGATCAGGTTGATCCACAGCAGCTGCACCGCGGTCAGCACCGACCGCATCTGCGAATCCGCCACGGAGGAAATGAAGGTCAACAAGACGGCGGTGATGTTAACGGTGATCTGGAACTGGAGGAACTTGCGCACCGCGTCGTTAACGGCGCGTCCCCACATCAGGGCCGTCAGGATAGAAGCGAAGTTGTCATCCATCAGGACAATAGCGGAAGCTTCTTTGGCAACCTCTGTGCCTGCAATACCCATAGAGAAACCGATGTTGGCGGCCTTGAGAGCCGGTCCGTCGTTGGTACCGTCGCCAGTGACCGCTACGATCTCGCCCATCGCCCGTAGCCGAGTGACGAGAATGCGTTTATCTTCTGGGGAGGATCGAGCCAGAACTTGCAGCTTGGGTAGCACTTCATCGAACTGCTCGTCTGTGAGACGGCGGAAATCTGGGCCTTCCATCACCGCGCCATCCGTGTAGATCCCACAGTCCGTGGCGATCGCCTTGGCCGTGACCATATTGTCGCCCGTCACCATGCGTACGACAACGCCGGCATGATGACATTTCGCGACTGCTTCAGGCACACCAGGACGGATGGGATCCTGGATACCAACCACGCCGAGTAGTGACATGTCCTTCAGCAGCAGGCTGAGGTCGGCAGACGAGGGATCGCTGGAGTCGACAGCCTCCGCTGGAGGCCAGGCGGCGAAGTCACGATAGGCCAGGGAGATCGTCCGGAGAGACTGCTTTGCGTAGGAGAGGATAACGTCTTCAAATCGCTCCCGCTCGGTGCCATCAATAGGTCGTAGTCCAGCGGAGGTCCAGGAGGTTGAACTATAACCGAGAAGAATCTCAGCGGCGCCCTTGACCAGAAAGCGATAGTGACCCGATGGCAAGCGCAAGACGGCGCCCATACATTTACGGCCAGAGTCGAAGGGCATCAGCTGAATGGTCGGGGCGTTAGCACGCTCCTCCACCAGCGAAGTCATTCCCAGTACATCCCGAGCGAAGCCCAGCAGTGCCGTTTCAGTCTTAGAGCCGACGAAGCCCGGCACCCCGTTTTCTTCGCCTTCGAACGCGGTCGAGTTGATCGCTACCGATTCGATCATCATCTGCTTCTGCTCGGCTGTGAGGTCTTTGGCGAAGTCTGCTGATCTTGTTTGGTTGCCTGTCTGGTCCTTGTCGTCGAAGGCGGCATCGCCGAAGGTTCCTGTCACCACCGTCATGCGGTTCTGCGTGAGAGTACCGGTCTTGTCGGAGCACACGGTCGTGGCGTTGCCCATCGTCTCGCACGACTTAAGCACGCGGACCAGGTTGTTCGACTTGACCATCCGGGTGGTTGCGAAGGCGAGGGCGAGAGTGACAGCTAAGGGGAGGCCCTCGGGCACGGCGACGACAATCACCGTGATCGCGACGATGAGGATATCCGTGAACTGTGAGGCCTTCTCAGAGCTGGTACCGGTATTGCTCGACAGGTCACCCAGAAACCGGAAGAGCAGAACGAAGAACAACAGCAGGGCAGCGCTGCTACCTAGCTTAGCGATAGCACCAGCGAGGTGATCTAGCTTCTTCTGCAACGGGGTCTGTTCCATATCCTGACGCATGGCCATGAGGATCTTTCCAAAGCTGGAGTTCACGCCAACAGATGTCACCAAACAGGTGCCGACTCCCTCGAGGACCTTGCTTCCGGAGATGATAAACGGGTCCAAGTCTTGGGTCCGGGTGTGGCCTTCGTCTAGGAGACGCATCACCTGCTCGCCGCCGGTCTTCCTCAGCTGGTCAGATTCACCGGTGGCAGAGGACTCGTCGCATTTCAAGTTGTGGCCATTGATGAAGATTCCATCGACCGGGACCAAGTCTCCGGGCTCTAGGTTCAAGAGATCACCCACTAGGACATCGTGAACAGAAATTCGCACCGTTCTTCCCGAGCGAGTGACGGTCACCTCCCGATCCTCCTTCTTCTTGTTGAGTCGGACAAAGGCGCGTTCCTTTTGGTAGTCGTTCAGTGACCCCACCAACACCACAATGCAAATGGCCACGCAGATGGCACATCCTTCCACCCAGTCGAGTCCCATCCCGGAGCTTCGTTTGGCATGAGATCCTCCTCCGCTAGAGTGGTTCGGATCAAACGTTTCGTACAGGCCCAGAGCGAGGGAAATGGCGGCGGCCACGGTTAGCAGGATCAGGACCTTGTCGTTGTATGCAATCCACATGAGCTTCCACAGCGGCGTGGCTTTCTTTTCCGGCAAGGTATTGGGCTTGAACACTCGAATCCGATCCTCAAATATTTCGGCCGGCTTCTTTCCAGCTGATTTCGATGTGACGCCGCCAGCATCCTCTGTATTCCCTCCGCCGAGGACAGACTCGTCCACGCTGAGGCCGGCCGAGACATCCGTGTGCAGTCCCCGAACCAAAGAGGGCAATCCACCCAACGCAACGAAGGCGGCGAGGGACTTAGGGTTGAGTAATTTGTTAAGCTGTCCCGGGGAGAAGTCGAATGGGTTGTCCTTGACATCGAAGTCGCCCTCCGAGCCCGGGTCGGGTCGAAGCGCCTCCTCCAGCTCGCTGACGGAGTAGATGCCCGACGTCCCACACGATGAGGCCCGCTTCTCCTTCCATAGGTCGTCCTGCGGACTGCTGGGGGCCATTGTACTGCCGCTCATGGCTCGATCCCGGCCAGTTTGGCCTTCGATGGCGGTCAGGTTGCTGTTCGATCGATCTCGGGAGAGGGTATCGTCATTCCCGGGGTGAGGCCCGAGGCACTGTTATTTTCGGGCACCTGGACAATAATTTCAGGAATCGAGTTCGCGCCTAGGTCGCCTCGCTCCTGCATTCCTCGAGCTTCCATCGTGATGAAGATCAGACGGTTCCTGGCGCTGGTATGAGAGAGCTACTGGTCGTGCATCCACAGCCATTTGCGGTTTAGATAAAACTCTGAAGGTGAACGATCACCATTGCACAGCCTCAGTCTCTCGGGCTCGGCGGCCGCATTATGGGGTCTAGCATTGGTATGCCAAGAGATTGTTAAGAAGGCCCAGACGGGCCAAGCCCGCTCATGCAGGAAGGGTCATTGATGATCGCGATGACTAGCTGTGAGCTAGTTCAGAGGCGTTTCACCAGCGCTGGCTAGAACCAGCATGAAGGATATGTGGCTTGCGGGGGATCTACTTACAAACGCGGGGGAGACTCCGTCGTGAGGCATCTTGTCCGCGAGAACGGCCGTGCTCTGGGGTGAAATCGCGGGGTGCATCCGATAGAAAAGCCCCAGCGTCTCCACATTTCTCCTTGCCAAACAATGCAAGCCTTGTCTTGTCCTTTTTCCCTGTCTGAATCGTGATCAGCATAGCCCACCATGGGGTTCAATCTGCATGCCGACAATAGCAACGATCCACCTGAGGTGCGCAACTGGCGCGTGCATCTCATCGCCCTGGTCGTGAGTATGGGGGCCATTGCCAGTATGTCCACTTCACTCCAAGCACGTTCTTGAGGGCGAATTGTTAATGCGATGGGTGGGGTTAGTGGGTTACGATACTAGTGTTATCGGAGGTACCATGGCCTTGGAGCCCTTCCGCCGTGACTTTGGTATGGAGCGTGTCTCCGACCTTGAGACTGATACCCTGGAAGGGAACATCGTGTCGACCTTCCAGGCTGGTTGTTTCTTCGGGTCTCTGCTCACCTTTCCCTTGGCCGAGCGGTTTGGGCGTAAGATGGCCATTGTGTTGGCCATTTCCATCTTCTGCGTGGGAGGAAGTCTGATGGTGAGACCCCTTTGAACCACTAGTCACTAGAAATTGTTGTCAATGGCTAACACATAAGGAATAAACAAGACCGCTGCTTCAGGCCATCTGGGCATGATCTATGCCGGGCGGGCCATCGCTGGGTTTGGCATCGGCTCCGTGTCCCTACAGGTTCCCGTATACATCGCAGAAACAGTATGTGAGCTGTGCACCAGATGGAATCGTGACGGATCTAATAAAGCTCATCTAGTCACCTCCCTCAATTCGCGGTCGTCTGGTCGGCATCTTTGAGATCTGTTCCCAAGGGGGCGGTATGTGGGGTTTCTGGATCAACTATATCGTCAATCGCACCATCCCCCAAGAGAAGATGGCGCAGTGGCAGGTTCCTCTGGGTCTACAGCTGCTGCCAGGTGGTTTGCTGCTCCTGGGGATTTTCTGGTGTCCGGAGACCCCCCCGGTGGTATGCAAAGCAAGACCGGTGGGAGGAAGCCGAGCGCAGCCTCATCTGGATCCGAAAGCTTCCTGCCGATCATCCCATGATTCATGATGAGATGCAGCAAATCCGCGAGCAGATCCAGATGGGAGCCCCTGCCGCAGGAACCAAACATGGTTTCTGGAATTACGTCCATCGACTGTCGCAGAAAGGCACCCGCAACCGGATCGGCATTGGCCTTCTGCTGATGGCGTTCCAGAACCTGACCGGTGTCAATATCATCACATAGTAAGAGCCGCCTCCCTTGCTTTTGGGCCACGCATGCTCCGCTAACCCTGCCACAGCTACTCGCCCCGGATATTTGAAACCCTGGGAATAACAGGTACAGATACGAAACTATTTGCGACAGGGTTTTATGGGGTGGCCAAAACCTTGGGAATGATCATCTTCAGCATCTGGCTGGTCGAGAAAGCGGGACGCCGCAGCGGACTGATCTGGGGCGCCTTCGTCGGCAGTCTGCCAATGTGGTATATCGGGGGCTATGTCTTCCGGGCGGACCCCGAAGGCGCAGCAGCCCGTGGCGACACGGCACGCAATGCATGGAGTTACATCGCCATGGTCTGTGTCTATCTGTACGGTTTAATTTATTGTGCCACCTGGCAGGGCATCACCTGGGTGATCTGCTCCGAAGTTTTCCCAATTGACATCCGCATGCTCTGTGTGGCGCTGACTACGGCGAATCAGTGGCTGTGGTCGTTTATTATCAGCCGCACTACACCATATATGATTACCTCGCTGGGATACGGGACATATTTCTTTTTTGCCGCGTTGATGGTGTGCATGGGCTTTTGGGCGTGGTGGTTTATCCCTGAGACCAAGGGGAAGTCGCTGGAGGAGATGGAGGAGTTGTTCGGGGCTCAGCCCGTGCCCAGAGATGCGGAATGGGCAGTGAAGGAAGAGACAGAGGTTGCAAAGGGGGGAATGACAACAGCTCATGTGGAGAGGATCTAGGGAGGATCGCTGGTAAATAGTCGAGGCGTCCAAACGTGGATGCCTTGAGGGCCTGAGAGTATCTAGTGAGAGTAGCCCTAGCCCTAAGCCCTAATCCATCTTCCTATCTTACTGTACTACATCCATACTTTACGATTGAATCTCCATCGTCTCTTCCCTCGTCTCCTTATCTCTTTCTTCGTTGTACAATGCTCCTCTCCTTTACAAGTTGCCACCCCCGCGCCCTCGACTCGGCGTGGCATTCCCTTCCCGCGTTTACATTCCTTCTCCCCGCTTCCCCGCCCTACTTGGTAACAGCCTAGATTCCCAACCAGGATATGATGCACCTCCACGGTCTCTCTTCCCTTCTCTCCAGACATCATGAGAGATACGCATGACAAGCTGGAACCCGGCACAGATGCGAGCGGAGTCGGTCCCCGTTCTCTGTACCCATGCCCAGAGCGGTAAAAGATAGAGCGTGGCAGTGCTCTTGGGACTCACTCACTACTGCGGGGGTGCCCCATCGGGAAAAAGTTAAATATTTTGACTTTTGACGTCTAAGCCAAGCAGAATCACCCTCGCAGTCGGCTGGGAACGCCTGCGCAATTCTTTTTCTCACCAGCACTCAGTCTCTCGCCCGAGCTACTTTTGCCATCGCCATCGCCGATAGGGACCTGTCATCGCTGATGTTCTGCCCTCGAACATATCTCTCTACCCTGTCTCTGACGGCATTTGATTGTTCCTTTGGCCATCTGTCAATCATGAACACGAGTGGCTGGCTCGCCCATAATGGAAGACCTGTCTCACACGTCCCGGACCTGGATACCCCCCAGGATTGAACGCCGTCGCACCATGGGGGATAACCCTGCTGGGTCGTGGACCTCGCGGGTGAAGCCCGTCATCATCGCTTGTGAGCGGTGTCGGAGAAGAAAAATTCGATGCGACGGGGAGACGCCGTGTGCGACTTGTCGCCGTTTCTCACTCCATTGCGTACGACCCCAGAAGAGCAGCGAGGGCCAGGCGGCGCTGGAGCAGCGCGTACAACAGCTGGAAGCGCGCATTATTGAGCTGAGCACTGGGATACCAAACCCGCCGGTTTCATACCCAGGAGATAGTCATTCAGCACGTCATTCCTCGCCGCCGTCTCTTCACCTGCTCACTGACCTGGAACCGCCGAAGTATGCTGACTCTGGATCCGAGTCATTTGGGCACTTATCCCCGATAGCAGCCCCTCTACGCTGGACATCCCTCGGATCGAAGTGGTGGACTTTGTTGATAACATGTCTCCGTTGTCCTCGTCCTACATGTCGTCCACAATGTCTGCAGCTCCGAGTCCCCTCTCCCCCATGTTTGACGGACGCTTAATGCCGCCGAACATGGGGATGACGTTATCTCCCCCGATGTCGATGTGTCCATCGCCCGGGCTTGATCCTATCCCCCATTTATCACCAGGGAACTTTGTAGAAACGCCCCGCTCGCGACGGTCATCGATGTCAATCTCTGAGTACAATCTGGATCTGGACCACTCGAATCTCAACTTCCCAATGGCCGATATGGGAGAAGACATCAGACCACCGAGCTTCAGCTTCTTCCCGCCACCCGAGACGGACAATCTCAGTGGCATGCCGACTAGCGTGGAAATCCAGCCCCTTCTGGATATTTTCCTCCAAAAGACCTCCGGAATGGGATATCCCCTTGGCCATGACATGTTCCGGATCTTCCTCGATATCATCGACGGATCCTCCCAACGACCTGACACTCACGGAGATGGATACCCGGTCTCAATGGCCAAGTTCCATGTGTACATGGCAATGGCGGTGGGATTACGGATGAAAGAGAACTGTCGACCGCGAGAATTGGAGTTACTGGAGACCTGCTATCGGGTGGCTGTGGAGCAGATTCAGTCGCGTCGTTTCTGGGACCAGCCCTTGGCGGGTGAAGCTGCGGTACTGCTGATGTTGTTCGCACAAGCTAGTCAGCAAACAAGGTCATGATGTGACTTCGAAGGCCCAAAATTTGAGATATATACGTAAATTTCCTCTTTCTGTTGTAGACCGTTTTCCTGGCCTCATCTCCCACGGGATGTGGGTGGCCTATGGAGCCATCCATGGGCCTATGGCCATTAAATCCGTCAAGTCGCCGTTTACTAATGTTTGCCTACGTGCTATGAAACCGCACGGTTTTGTGCGCAAAGAAATCGACTGTTTCTAGAAGGACGCGGCATCATCACGGCTTAAATGGGAATCAGCTGTAGGTAAAAGGGTGCTACTGTCCGCTACGCTAGAAAATGTCGAGGAAGTGTGGTGTTGCCACCGGAACGGAGATTAAAGATAGTCTATCTTCCTGGTCCGATGGGGAAATCTGCCCTCTAAAGCGATATCACTGTCCGATCATTAGAGGCAGCCTCGGATGCCGATGACAGAAACAACTTAATCTCTTTGCATGCATGTCAGTGAACAGACAGATAATTGCCTGACTGCCTGAGGCATAATTTCACATGAATTTTATACATATCACGTGCTGGCTCCGGCTTATCTCCGTGCTGACAAACCTATCTCCGTGGAACCGGGTCGAATTCGCCAGCGCCTGCCTATTCGGGCCATATAAGCAGTTTCTTCTTGTCGCGAGTTGTTCACTCAAGAGCTCTTTCCTCACGAGCTCTTCCCTACTACCTATCTAATCACACGCTATAATGGACTTTCCCAAGGAGCTAACCGTCCACCACCATGGGACCGCGCATATCATTCAAGTCCCCGCCTCGGCAACATTACAAGACCTCTCCTCCGAGCTAGAGCGCGTCCTAAACATTCCCATCGAGAACCAAAAGCTCCTCATAGCCCCAAAGCCAGGAATGCAAAAAGCACCGTTCCCACCCACTCTCCTTGACGCGGTTCTCCAGCTCTCATCCCCAAAGTTCAAGATCACCCTCCTCGGCACCCCCGCCAAAGCAATCGCCGATCTGCACGAACAATCCGCCAGCGAAAAGCGACGACAAGAGGCACGAGCTGCCGCTCTAAACGCCGCAAGACGTAACAAACAAACACCATCCTCCACCCGCAGCGGTGGGATCCACACCCTCTCATCCTCAAGCAACAACTACACCTTCCACCGTCTCCTCCCACTATCCTACCTCCCAAACCCAGACCGCTCTCTGGACTTCCTCAAACGCCTCCGCGATGACCCAGGTATCCGCGCCGCAATGGCAAAGCACAAGTTCTCTGTGCCGCTTTTGACAGAGATGAATCCCGCGGAACACACGACGAGCGAGTCACGGACGCTAGGTCTAAACCGGAATAAAGGCGAGGTGATTGAGTTGCGTCTGCGAACGGATGCCTATGATGGATACCGTGATTACCGTACTATTCGGAAGACGCTGTGTCATGAGCTTGCGCATTGCGTGTTCGGGCCTCATGACCGTGACTTTTGGGATTTGACGTCGCAGATCGAGAAGGAGGTTGACCGCGCTGATTGGAAGTCTGGTGGGAATCAGTTGTCTAATCAGGAGTTTTATAATCCTGGTGATTGGGATAGCGCTCAGGGGGGAGGAGTTTGTTGATGAGTGTGGGTGGACCGGTGGGGAGTTTGTCCTTGGTGGATTGCAGGGCGACTCGAATGGTGGCCGGGGTGGAAATAGTGCTCCTGATGGGACGCTGTCTCGTAGGGAAATCATGGCGCGGGCAGCGGAGGAGAGGATGAAGAGAGAGAGTCAGGCCGGGAAGCAAGATGATGCTAAGTGATATGGCTACTCATTTGGTGCACGATCTTCTTTCATGATTTACGAGTTCTGCTTTAAACTACATAGCACTTGATACCATACATATATATTCTTCGTTTGAATTTAACTCATTCATATGCCTTGGAGATCGTATATTTTGTCGCGTAGTTAAACTAATCTCTGTATATCTACAGCTGCTCATTGACGAAGAGACCAGCCATACCCTGTCCAGTTCCAATACACATGGAAGTGACCAGAATCTTACTCTTTGTCCGGCGAGCCTCACTCAGAATGGTCGCGATCTGGCGCGCACCTGTTGCGCCGAGCGGGTGACCAAGGGCAATAGCACCGCCACGAGGGTTGACCTTGGCGTGATCAAGACCAAGGTTCTTAACACAGTAGACCGCCATAGAGGCGAAAGCCTCGTTGATCTCGTAGATATCGATATCATTCTTGTCAAGCTGGAACTTGCTCAGCAGCTTAGGGATAGCAGCAGTTGGGCCGATACCCATCACGCGAGGAGGAACACCGGCAACGGTAGCGCCACAGAACTTAGCAAGGATAGGCTGGTTCAGCTCGATAGCCTTGGAGCGGCGCATGAGAAGAACAGACGCGGCACCATCAGTAACCTGGCTGGAGTTTCCACCAGTGGACTTATCACCGAACTGAGGGAAAGCAGGGCGAATCTTGGAAAGCGACTCGAAAGTAGTACCGGGACGGATACCATCATCACGGGATAGAGTAACTTCCTTAACCTCGCCAGTCTTGGGGTCCTTAACCTTGACAGCGATAGGAGCAATCTCGTCATCGAGCCAGCCGTTGTTCTGAGCAGCCTCAGCACGGCGGAAGGACTCGGCGGCATATCGGTCCTGCTGCTCGCGGGGATATCGAAGTCCTTTCCGACGTTCTCGGAAGTTTGTCCCATGGGCTGCATGCAGTCGGCGGCCTCCTGGTTGCGCAAGACCTCCTCGTTGAACGGCCTGTCCAGCCGGTCGCCAGAGGCGGACATCAGCTCCGCACCCAGAGCGACACCGACATCGATGGCGCCCAGCTGGATCTGATTCGCGATATCCTGTACAGCCTTCAGCCCGGACGAGCAGAAGCGGTTTACTGATGAGGCACCGGCTGTGTGGGGGATACCGGCGGCAAGAGCTGCAGCGCGGACCATGTAGGCAGCTTTAACTTCGTTGACCTGTCTTCGGGGTTAGAATATGGAATCTGGAATCGATAGGTTTGTGGTGCGAAGAAAAAAAAATCGAACGTACATTTCCGAGACAGACATCCTCGATCAGAGCAGGGTCAATCTGTGACTTGGCCAGAGTCTCCTTCAGCAGGGCGTAGATCATGTAGTCCAATTCTGTGTCCTTGAACCCGCCCTTACGCGCCTTGGTCAGCGGTGTGCGGATTGCTAGGGTGATGACCACATCGTCGGGGTTCTTCTGTGTACTGTGTTTGCTTGTTAGACTCATAAGACACAGATGACCTCATCCGAGGACTTACATAGCAGCGAGGCCGTTGGTGGCGCCGGGCTTGAGGTGGCTCAGGAGCGAGCTTAAACGATCTGCGGCCATGGTGTATGAATATGGAGAGACTGAAGAAAGTATACAGTCAGTTTTAGATTCTTCTTGCTTCCTGCAGCTTGTTTTTATTCAAGATTGCAGCTATTGGCATGGAAGTTTTCGTTAATGCGGGGAAGCTTCGCGCGGAGATTTTGGGCGAGGGGAGTAAAAACCAAAAGCACATTCTAGGAAAAGAGAATAACTTACGAATTGTACAGAATTAAAAGAGAAATGGAAAATATGAATAACAAAATGAAGAGGAGTCAAGGGCTTAAAAGAAGTATGGGGAGAAGGGAAGATCTCCGCTTAGCCCGAAACTGCCGAGGTTCATTTCATCGGTCAGGTTATCCGGCCATAAGTACCTGGTACTTTCTAATTGCCCCGTATACCCTCATTTAAGGAAGTATCTAGTACCTCAACGAAGTCGATTGCCAGTTCTATAAACTTGGCTTGTGGAGATGCCTAGGTAACTCGGTTTGTTTGTCGAATTGACAATTCTGTTAAAGGAAGAAATCATTCATTTCTTAGTATATAGATATGACTAGACCTTTCCATTGTGTTTTAAGTTTTGCAGCTGGGCATGTGCATACTCAGCCCTTTGCTCTTTGTCACGTTAGTTTTCTTACTGCTTTCGCTGTTGCAGGAGGATCTCGGTTGGTCGTTAGTATCTGGGAATTTCCATACTTGGATGTGATATATTCTGCTGCTTGTTCGATCGAGGCGACGTTGCTAGTCTACTGATGTGCAGATCTGCATGCATACACTTGGAGCGATAGCTGTACGGTTATGCACAGAGGATAAATTCATGCGTTATTATACAGATGAATAAAAAATAGCTTCCTAAATACAACTAATACGTACCCACCGTTATCTCTTTGCGCATCCAATCCTCAAATCTTCCCTGGGCTTTAGGGTTAGTGTCTTCCCAGTTGTAGGAACCAGTGTGATAGTTCAGAATCTCGAAATACCTGAGAACGATAAGTCGAAACCAATACACTGCAGATTGGAAAGGTACATACATTTTGGTCTTCCATTGTTCCGTAGTCATTTCTGAATCTAACGAAGACCAGTCAATTTGCTTCTCACACTCGGGTTCATCGTCAGAGTCCGAATAGGTCGAAACGTATGTATGGGTTAGAGCATCTGCCGCTGCGATTCTCTTTTGTGGGTCTATGTCAAGCATTTTCTCCAAGAGATGAACGGCTAGCAAAAGTCAGTAGTCATTGGAGGTAGATAGACCAGGAAGCACTTGATATCAATGAAGATTTCGACGGGCATACCTTCAGGATCAACATCTCCCAGCGTATGTGCAAGTGGCCTGGGTTCTATTTCAGGTAGGGAGTTCACAAACTCCATCGTCTATAACTTGTAGTCAGCATCTAATCTTCAATATCCAACCCGGCCGTTTAGGATTCGTACAATGTCGCTGTAAACTGTTTCCATAATCTCTTTAGGTGGCTTCCCAAAGATCTCAGTGATCAGTTTGAAGTGATGCACATTGTCTTTGCCTGGTAAGAGAACTTTCCGTAGGAGCATCTCTGCCAGGATGCAACCAGTGCTCCAGATATCCACCGCGAAGCTGTATCTCTGCCAATTCAACATGATCTCTGGAGCTCGGTAGTATCGTGTGGAGACATAGCCAGTCATCTGATGATCTTGTTCTCGGGCAAGACCAAAGTCACAAATCTTCAGGTCGCAGTTTCCTTTTATCAAAATGTTGCTAGGTTTGAGATCTCGATGGATCACACCAGCAGAGTGGATGAATTTTAGCCCTCGCTGAAATTGTCAGTTACACTGACATTTCCAGCTCAAACTAGGGTAGACATACCAGCAGTTGGTAGGTGAAGAACTGGATGAACTCGCCTTCCAATGGGTCCGGCCTTGATTGGATCAAATGATGAAGGTCTGTCATGCAACAGTCCATTACAAGATAACTGTTTCAAAACGTTCAGTATCAATCAATTTGGGAAATAGAGGAGCTAGTAGTGATTCACATACAGATCTTCCGCTGGTGAAATGAAGATATCTGTCATGTTGATCAACTATTGGCGGTTAGTGTTCACGTTCGTATTTGGTCTCTTTTTCCACACATGCATTATCATGCTTTAGATGGTTCATCAAATGAATCTCACGATACGTGCGCTTGACCCGGGCAGGGCTATCAAAGGGATTCCATATCTTCTTTATAGCGACCGTTCGGTTGGCCATTGAATCATGTGCCGAGCTGATTCTAGCTGTTAGTGGTCTTACAGTACGAATATAATATCCGAGGAGGAAATATACCATATTGCTCCAAAGGCACCCACATCTCGTGCTTGCAAGTCTGTATACCTCTCGGTAGTTTGAAGGGCGGTGCCCATGATATTATGTGTGATGAATGTAGCCATGATTCCAATGCGAATTTGAAGATGGAATGAATTACCAGAATGGAGGAGTCCTCTATACTATAATACTATAATACTATAATACTATTAACTACCTCGTATACTCGAAGTTGTTCTCCTCAGGCCTAGCCCGGGTGGTTACGTCACAACATGGATGTTCCCATGCGGTCCGCCCATGTGGTTGGCCGTTTGATCGTTTTATATCTTAATTCCCTCGTATTTCCAGGTTAACTCTCCACGTATCCATGGATGTCTACCAGTCAAGCCGGGTCCACGGGTATTACCCCAGTTGACCCTTATCAGCAGACCCCGATACATGTACGTATGTAGAAAGTAGGCCGAGGTATATATACAAAGTAGTGGACGTCACTTAGCTTGGTTACTACGAATGTAGGCCCTCTTTCGAGATTGCGTCAATCATGTCGCAGGTGATTGAATGTGAGAGGCAACATCCGATCCTGGCTTTGACTCCTTTAACACTGGTCAGTGCAAATTGACAATGCCATATCATATGTAAAGTTTTCATCTAGAGTAGTTAGTACATTATGGCGGTGCTTCTAGGAGTATTGCATGTTTAATGGACCCCTTATTATTTCGAGTAAACAAAGAGTCCTTGTACCTCGTATCGCACCAACGCAAATTGCAACCAAGCTGAAACCTAAAGCCAAAACACCGAACACCATACCAGGAAGATACCCGAGCCAGTAAAGCCCGTCCATTGATCCTTGTCCATTATCCATGAAGTTCCGAGTGCATCAGAGCAACTGATGATGTCCAGCATCCTCGTTGCTAATTACACTACCCACGTCAGACCATGCCGGAGTAGCCACACCACCAACAGAACGCCCACCAAGGTCACTAAGAGTACCGTCGGACGTTTCATCCTCGAATCCTCCGACATGGCTAAAACTTCCACTCGTAGAAGGGGCGGCTGAAACATCATTGTGAGACTGAACACTCTCGTGGCCGAAACCATCTAGCTCAACAAGATGATCATGCTCATAGGTTCTATTGCTCGGTGCGTCTGGGTGCGCATAATATACCTGCTGGTGGTCTTCTGTGTGGCTGGAGCCAGAGGCAGACAAAGGAGACTTGGGAGAGAATGGATCAAAGAGGCTATCCCCACCGGGTGCTTCAGACCCAGGCGTGAACTGAATAATAGATTCCGAAGGATGATTCGAGGGAGCGGGCGAGGGAATGTCAAGATGCAGCTGATCCCGACCCAGCGTGGCCGTAGAGTCGGTCTCAATTTGCTTGCCGCCTCGGCGGAGGGGCTCCGAAGTGCCCAGGTCAACTCCCGTTGAGTTAGCAGTAAATTCTTCGTTGGACTGAACACCGTATTCGTGGTCTTTTTGGTCTTTTTGTTTAAGTAGGTTGCCCTCATTGTCGACCAGGGTATCAAAGCTGTTATGAGGCTGGCCCGGCTGGCTGGCCTTCCGTCGTGATTCAAGGATCGTTCCTCGTCGCATGATCTCCGCACGAGCAATCCGTCTGCGTTCCTCGGCTACTTCGCCAGTCTCCTCAGTCATAGAAATGTCCTCCCTCAACGCTATGTCTTGAGGTTGGATCTCATCGCCGAGGTTGTGCAGGGCCACGGCAATCTTGCGCCGCGAGGTGGTCACCCATTGTTGAAACTGCGGTGACTCGTACACGGCAATTCCGGCTGCTACAAGCACAGAAACAGTAATGATGAGTCCTGCATGAAAGGTTAGCCTCATCCTTTACGCAGTGGGGAACTGATAAGCCGAGTACACCGCCCGGATGATCCGGGATGAAGTCGTAGAAGTTCAGGGAAGTAGAGGGCCATACCTTTTGCAAGTGGTGCTGGCATAATGAACCGGAATATTGTAATTGTATCTTTTCTTTCAAACGTTTTCAAGACTCACCTCTGTCATCCATGGAGCGGAACAAGATGATACGGTGATGCCTGCACCTTATCCTTACATTACCACATGTGACCCGATAAGCCCTTATCACCGGCCCTAAATACACACCGCTTTGGGCAAAGTTCCCCGCGCGTCGAAGTGATGGACGTGATTGCAAGCTCCCATCTCTGGACTCGATTGTTATACAATTGAACTTGAGTGATATCATCATGTCTCGCCAACCTTCGCAGGCCCAACGGCCGTTGTCCCTCACCGAGGAGCTTGAGAAATTGGAGCAGTCCATCACCCTGACAATGCAAGGTAGGGTAAAAAAGTAAACAAAACAGTCCGGCAGACCGCTCATCGTCATATGTTCATACAGAGATCGACCACAATTTCAGTCAAGCTCATCGGATAGTTACTACGAGTATATTGCCTCTGGTAGAGCAATATACCGAGCATTCCCGAGATGTCTGGGAAGGTTCCAAGGTCAGCGCCACCAGCAGACACAGCTATAGACAGTTTTGTTGATTCCCTTTAGTTTTGGAAGCAATTCTTCGAAGCGAGCGCCAACGTATCTCTCTCCGGCTATGAAGAACGAAACACGGATGAAGAAACGATGCAGGACCCGACAGACACGGAGGAAGAGTTGTCCACCGACATAACCCAGAGCACCAACCTCGACGAGACCATGTCCCACGAGACGCCCTCTTCCCAGCGCCATGAAACACCCCGCCGCGACCAGGCAGACGACCTCGATCTAACAGATCTCGCGATCTCTTCCCACAGCACTCCGCGTGCTCCAGGCCACCATCATCAGCCCGAGGACGACATGACAACCTCCTCAATGGAGTACTCGTCCTCTTACGAGAACCTAAGAAGACAAGTCAACGAATCCCAACCACCATTCGACCTCCCAGAATCCTCGACCCTCCCTTCCACTCCAGGCCGCCAATCCTTCTTCCCACGCGGCGTCTCCGCCACAACCCCGATGTCCTCACCATTCCTCCCGCCCGCATCGCAGCCATCCACCCAAGACCGTCGATACCAGAAGACCTCGGACCCGGTACTGCACCAAATGCTCGACAAGACCTACCGGGTGCAAGCCACGCCGCTTGGGAAGGGATTCCGCAATGTGGGCGGCAGCGCAAACACTCGACCAAAGTTCACTGTCACGCCAAAGCCAGCTGAATCTACCTCCAAGTATGGATACGACGACTCGCCGATTTCCAGCCCGGAGCCGGAGGCACCACAGCTGCACTCGGAAATCTTCTCGTCTCCTATCAAAGGCATCAATGACACCCCCGGCACGAACCGCAAGCGACGGACTAGCAGCAATCGCATGCGCGGTATTCCCAGGCCTGGAATGAGTGTTTTGACACCTGCTAAGAAGTCTGCGGGTAAGTCGGCAATGTGGGATAGCGACGACGATCTGGATTACGACGATGAGGATCTTGGGCCGAGTCCTCCTAAGACAATGCAGTTCCACATTCCGCAGAGCCGGTTGATGAGGACGCCCGGTAAGATTTGTTCCCTTGGTTCTCTTTTGATAGTATACTCATACTAACTTCCTTCGCCTCGGTAGCAAGAGAAGCTTCTAAGCGCATCGTGACTGACTTACTGGCTACGGCTGGGGCTGGGGACATTACAGATGACTTTGGCGACGACCAAAGTCCAAGTGTGATCCGCCGCATGGAGCACCTGGAAGATGAAACCTTCTAAGTCAATACGTAAAGAAATAAGGCTGATTATAGGTTCTTATCATTGATTTGGCGTTTCATTTTCATGTCCATCATGTTCTGCTACGTTAGACCCCAAATACCCGTGAATATTAATATGACGTCATTACCGGCGAATGCCAACTTTTTTTGTCTATTCATTTCCATTAGAGTAGAGAAGGAGAGATAGAGGACACTGCTTATAGAACTATCATACACGTGGACACTGTAAAACAAATGTCACTTTTCGGGACTGGGAGAACCCTTGAGACATGAACATGAAGACAAACGCTTAAGAAATCGTAGGATATGTACGGGCGATGAAAGCCAAGCAATCCCATCGCCCCTCCCATCTATCATTGTTATCCAACAGAGATTCCAGGCTCTCGAGAGGAGGTAGAAATGAAAGTGAGCAGCGATGTCTGCACTGGGCCTTGATCAATGGCGGTTATGGGGGATGAACAAGAAGCAAGAGAGCTATATCTAGGAGCTCTTCTTGGTCTTGGACTCGGTGTCGTTCTTCTCCGTCTTGGAGTCCTTCTCGTTATCACTCTCCTCAGACTTCTCCTCCTTCCCTTCAGCACCAGCAGCCTGCTGCTTCTGATTATCATAGAGAGACTGATGCTTGGAGCTCAAGCGCTCCTCCTCAGCAGCAACCATATCCTTCCAGAGATCGCCCTCATTAGGCTTACCACTCTGGTGAACAGGCTGCTCATCAGAAATATCCTCAACCTTAGCCTTAGCCGCGGCCGCGGCCTTCTTCTTCGAGTCCAGCAATCCACGACCACGACGCTGGTCTGAGATCTCAAAAGCAGCCGAAGCACACAAAACACCCAGCGTCAGACCCTGCGCATAGACACGGGCCTGGACAAGCTTCTGCTGGCCGGTAAGGCCGGGAATGCGACTGACCAGCGCGAAAGAGCCAACCATCGAGGCAACCCAGGTGGCGGTGATGATCTTGTATTTCTCGCGGCGGGCGAAGGCAGCGGCGCGGTCGGTGAAGCTGAGACCGCGCATCTCCTCGGCACGAAGGCGCTCTTCGCGGTTCTCGTACCATTGGTATGCGGCGTTTTGCTCGTTCTCGTACTCGCGTGAGGCGTGGTCGGCTGCGATGATACCCGTGAAGGTACCGGAGGATGTCACCAGGAAGGATTTCATGGGCACAGTTAGGTTGCGGATTGTGTGGTAGCGACGTGAGGCAAGTAGAACACCTGCTACGCCGCCGGCGAGACCGAGGAGGCCGCCGACTGTGCCGCCTTTGACGACGGACCTGTTGAGGTTTGTTTCGTCAGTATGGGCTGATCAATGGAAGTTGGAGGGTGTAGGGATTTCATACCTGTAGTGGGCTTCTTCTTGTTCTTTAGTGAGTAACTTCATTGTGTAAAGTAGCGTATTCTTTAGACTGGAATGAAGAAGAGGGTGGAATGTCCAATATAAAACCAAAAAAGCAAAGGCCGGATCGCATGACGTGGGAGCCGCGGGATCTGCTCTTTTTCCGGCGTTGCGCCCCGGCCATTACTCGGTCTTGCACGGAACTGGCTTGCCGACTTGATTTTGGGCTTTTTCTCTATAGATCACTGGGCATATTTGAAATTTAATTGGATTTACTTTGATTCGTTTCCATACAATTTCAATGGACGAAGTTTCTTGCTTATTCCACTCGGAATGCGAAGGTTGACACACTCCCAAATCCCTATTCAATCCCCGATTGATCCCGAAACGCCCCAAACACCGCGAAAATTATCTCACATAACGGAACTGGCCCATGCCATTTTGGAAAAGAATTTACAGCCGAATCTACCGACGAGACGCCTTGCGTGCCGCAGCCTGGCGGGCTTGCATCTTGCGGAAACGGTCCTCGCCGCTGGAACCCAAGGGGCGCGCAAACTGAGCCTCGCGCACAGCTGTCTGGCGCGGGACCACAGTATAGCTGACGTTGGTACGATCGACACGAGCACGATTGAGAAGACGGGGAGGGAGCATCGCGCGGGCGCGGGCTTCAGCTTCGATCTCCTCGGCGGTGGGAGGAGCGCGCCTGACAACTTTCCTATAGGGGTGTCAGTGGGTGATAGGGCGGCGGTGCAGCAGTGAACATACGTAGGATCATAATCAGCCTCTTGGTAGACCCGCTTCGAATAATCGTCGCTGCGCTGGAGAATTGGTCGTGTCCACTCTGCCAGCAACTTCTCTGCCATTTCCTTGATGCGACGCTCGGTGCGCTTGCTCTTGGTGTAGAAGACAACCACCTTTCCAATACCACTGGCAATCAAAGCATCCTTGTTGATAGGAAGCTTGGTAATGGCGGTCAGTAAGTCGCGCTGAATGTTGTAGGCGGGCATCGACCCATCGTCCAGAGGCTCAAGGAAGAACCGAACAGCTTCCAATAGGTTAATCTCTGGGTCGACCAAGGCGCTGGTGTACTGGTTGCGATTGAGGAGCATGATGACTTCGGGGAGGAGCTTGAGCTTGTGCATAGCTGGTTTTCCTTCTTGGCGGTTGATCGCATCCATTTGCGCGGCGTGGGTCATGCGCTTGCGCATATCCTCGATTTCAGCATCTGCCATAGATTCCAAATCCTAATAGTACAGTCAGTAAACATAGGTGAGTGCGTGTCACTAGACACAACACATACAATGCCATCCTGCTTGCGGAAACGTCTCTTCGCCGGCTTCTTCATCGCCTCGTCCATAGCACGGTCGAGGGCGCGGCGTCGTCCTGATAATTGAACCCAGTTAGTATAAATTTTGCGAGACGGAAAACCAGTTGCCAGTAAGAGCAGAACATACGGGTCTCCGGGTCAAGAGCCTCCTCATCTGTATCGGGCTTATCCTCGCGCTTCTTGCGATCGCGTCGGCCAGAGCCTTCTTCGTCGCCTCCCTCATCAGCTCGACGGCTCTTCTTCCCGCGACGACCTTCCTTTCGGCGCGGACGACTCTCGCCATCCTCAGTGCGCTTGCGTTTGTGACGACCAATGAGTTTCAAGTTATCTTCATCAATAGCAAGTTGTGGGCGGTCCTCGACGTCAACATTCTCTGGGTCGAAGTTGTCGAATTGTGCCTCGTCAACCTCGGACAGAATAGACTCATCGTCTGAAATCTTGTCGTCATCAACTTCGTCGTCTTCACCGTGTAGCTCATCATCAACATTCTCCGTGGCTTCCTTGGCCTTAGCAGTAGGTTCAGTCGAGTTCTCGCCCTCGTTGTCGTCACCAGCAACCGGGGTTGCGACTTGCTCGGGGACTTCGGGTTCGGGAGAGGCGGCGGGCGAAGCAGCCTTGCGGTCCGGTGAAGCAGACATGGTGGCTCAGATGACAGCAAATGCGAACGGATAGATTAAGAGCAAAGATCAAAGGTGTAGAGATCTTTTAGGGGAAGTATCGCGAACAAGTCACGGTACGTTATCTGCCTGAGTGATCCCGACGCCTCTCCGCAAACTCAATCGATGCTCTGCGGATTCGAGCAAGGCGGGTAAGATGTCAAGGTAGAGATTAAAAAGAGAAACCCAGCACAAGCTTCTCATAAAATTAGGTCGATAGAATGCGAGCGGATAGAGAGAAGGGAGGTAGTGAAGGCAAAACCTCAAGTGAAGGAGAGCGGTGGTCTGTGCTCCCGTGATTTATTTCTCCAGTCCGACTTCCAAGGTTGGGAACATCCTCGTTCAACTCTCACAACATCTACTATCTGAACCCTCTTTCCTTACTTAATTCTTCATCACATTCAAAATGTTTGCCCCAGGTATGATTCCAATCCCATGCCTCTTTGCGCCTTCAAACTCGAGCTGACAATATAATTCTGTTAAGGCCAAGAACAGATCTCCAAGGAAGAGATCAAGGTCAGCCTCACGCCATGACCTCTACCCCAAGTGACATCTGATATTAACATACTTTACAGGCTGGTGAGATTGAGGCCAGCCAGACCGTCCAGATGGCTATTGCTGGCGGTTTCCTCCTCTACTTGTGTAAGTCGAGTATCTGGTCCACAAAGCCTCGAAAGAGCAGACAACTCAAGACAAGCCAGGGAAGAGTTCAGTGGATTGAAAGCTAACGTTGCCATCCAACACATAGCCCCCTTCGCCGTTGACTTCGTCCGCAAGTTCCTTTAAGCCGGTTGACCCGTCTTCCGCTCTTCTTTCTTGCCTCCCGGACTGTAATCGATGAATCGCTGGTTATGATTTCGCGATGACATGCAGGAGAACTGGATAATTGATTTTTTCCCCCTGGCATAACTTTTTTTCCCAGCCAAAATTGGACAAGATTGAGCATGGACGCCTAACCTATGGAAAGCTCTTGAAGTTCGTCTACTATATCTTTTGGGTCTGCTGGGTAATGCCGGTAGGGTGATGTATTACTATTGTGCATATGCTTGTTGTCGTTTGTTTTTCTGTGGGATATAGAGCAAATCAAAATATCAAATTGCAATATGGAAGTCAGTATCAGGGTCTCGCGAGGCTTTGATAAAGTAATGGGTCAACATGGCAGAGCAGAGTGGTACATATGTAGTGATCTGAGGGCTTATATCCAATACATGTATGTACATATCCTCGCTATCATACATAGAAGGTACATGTATTGATGGATAGTACATGTAGTTACTACGACTTGGCGAGCAAATCCACTCATAAAAGACACAAAGTGGAATGTTCAGCAAAAAAATTTGTATTCAGATATGCATTACAATGGCCTGATCCCCAAGAACGCCAGTACCCCGTGACCGTAGACATTAAGTCCAAACATATGAGGAAATGTGAGGAGATTGAGATTCGAAATAGCACACAGAAAGTTAGAGAGCAATGCCCTCAATTCCCAATTGCTTTCTCCACCTCGTTGAAGTCGTTCTTGATGGACTCCATCTCCTTCTGGAGATGCTGAATCTGAGAGTGGTAATCATCCAGGATCTGGAGGATATGGTTAGCGATCTCTTCCGGTGCTGAGACTTTATCAGTGCCAAGGAACGAACCTTCTTTGCAGTCTTCAATGTCTGTTCATCAATGTCATCCTCCGCTTGTGTCACATTTACTCCAGCACGGTCCATCTCCACTTGCAGTCGCTTGGAGTGCTCGTGGATGGCCAACATGCGGGCCCAAATTTCTTCAGCGCGGCCATTGAGAGACGGGTCGAAAACGGCACGTTCCAACTCAACAAGCTTCTTCTTCAACTGTTCCTCCGCTTCGTCCATGGCATACCCTCTGTTGCGAAGGATCTGCGTCTTAGCAGCAAGGGAGAGGCATCGTTTGCTCAGGATAATGTGCTTCCGCCGGCAGTCAGCGATCTTGACGGAAAGGTTGAGATCATGCTTCGAGAGAAGCCCGGTCAAGCAATTGTTGATCTCGTGCAGGCGCGACTGCATCATAGTGAGGAAGTCCCTCTGACGCTGCGCGCGCTTACCGAGGTCCCAGAAGCCCTTTACAAGCACAGGGACATATCCTGGACCTGGTCGCTTGCGCAAAGCCTCCTCCCATTTTGACTCGTCGTCCTCGGGGCCCGGTTGGTAGAAAGGTGCGGCCTCCTCGCCGACATTGTTGTACAGGTAGGCTCGGAAGGGGGAGGTTTGGCTGGGAGGATCCCACTTATCCTTGATGATGGCCACTTGCATAGGGACAGTTCGGTGCACTAGAAAGCGGTCTTGTCAGTAAAACTCCGTAGTGAAAGATTACACAATAGACTCACCCCCAGTAATAGCACGGCCGGGGGACCAGAGGCTTGACGACAGAGAAGGCTGCTGCTGCTGGGGCTGTGGTGTTGTCATCGTGTTCTGGCCGAATTGCGATTGCTGCGGTTGCTGCTGGCCCAAGGCATTTGTTTGTTGTTGAGTGTTGGAACCGAGACCCCCAAGTCCTCCTAACGCAGTGCCTGGTTGTTGTGTTTGTTGCTGGCCTCCGAAGAGGCTACCTTGCGGTTTCTGTAGCGAGGAGCCGAATGCGCTTCCTTGCTGTTGCTGCTGCGGCTGCCCAAAAGCACTTGAGCCGACGGTATTCTTGGGGTCTTGTGGATTTCCGAATAAAGATCCTGACGGCTTCTGGGGTGCGGCACTTGCGCCGAACGCACTTCCGCCAAATGCACCGGTTGCTCCCGTTCCTGCCGCTGCTGGCTGTTGGGTCTGCCCGCCGAACAGTGTGCCAGTGCTGGGCTGGGTTGTTGCCGGGGCGCCAAAGGGAGACGGTTTCGATGCGGTGTTGCCGAACAGCGAGGTGTTGGCCTGGGGCTGGGTTCCACCGAAGAGAGACATGATGGGCGATCAAAAAAAGGCACAAAAAAAAAACCACGATAAAGATAGAGCGCGTCAATGGGTCAATAAAGCACTGGCGCAGCCAGATTAAGAGCGCTGAAGGGAAATAGAAACAAGTCTAAGGCACATAATCCAGGGACCGGGTGTTGGCAGTCGAAGGAGAGAAAGCTGAGGGGTTCTTCGATGGAGCTCGAAGGCCGAGAAAGATGAGAGCCGGAGCTCGATTTGTTTGTGTCACGTGATGGGCCATTGTTCGCAAACAGCTTGAATACATATTGAAAGAAAGATGTGAATAAGTATTGAATTGGTATTGATATATTGTTCAATTTTATTGTCCTGATAGCTTTTCCCCATTGATATCCCCCAATAAACAAAGGCAACAATTCACACACGCTGGCTCCCCAATACTGCACCTGGGCAGCATGTTACGCTGACCTAATCACAAACCAACCAGCCAATCACCGACGAGCCAAATTTCATTCCACCGCAACCCGCAGCTCTCGACTATCGATCTCCAAGTCTCGTCTCAATTGCACCTCTTTCCCCTCACAGTCTTTCTGACAAGCCACCCGTCGCCATGGCCCAAAGAGATGCTCGGTATGTACCTTGATTCCAATCGCTTTCTCTTTGTCAAGCTCAATGGGAAACGCTAACCTCTATCCCTCCGCGCACAGCTTCAACCAGACTGTCCTGGTGGACACCACACCCATGCCCGATCACATTCCCAAGGTGGAGGAGGTCGGTGCCACATCTGCACCCCTGATGAGTGCAGCCTATTTCATTGGAGACCGCTGCAAGGCCTTCAATGACGACTTCATGAAGTGCAAGGACGAGGCCAATGGCCGCGGGGAGATCGACTGCTTGAAGGAGGGCCGGAAGGTGACGCGCTGTGCCGCTAGCGTGTACGTTATTTCTGTGGTTTACATTTGAGTTGAGACGAAGATATTGACCCCTCGCAGCATCAAGGATATCAACACCCACTGCCTCGACCAGTTCAAGGCCCACTGGGAGTGTCTCGAGAACAACAACCACCAGCTTTGGGAGTGCCGCCGGGCCGAGATGCAGCTTAACAACTGTGTCTTTGATAAATTGGTATGATAGATGCCCTCTTGCTTCCGATCGTCTTAATCACCTCGCATCCATGGCATCCGCTATCACCCCGGACTCAAGCTAACATGCACTTTTCTCGTTTCTTTTAGGGCTTGAAGAAGACCATCCCTGGAACCCCCGAGGGCCAGGTTCCTGTTCACTTGCGCCCCAAGCAAAAATACGCACAGTACCCCGGTCCCCAGTGGTAAACACTGACCCGGTTCACTTTGTCCTCTCTAGACTCGCCTTGATTACACCCTCACCCTTCCCTCTCATAATCTGGGCATCGTCTTTTTTCTATATCACTGTTTTATTTGGATGCTCGGCCGTAAATCCGGTCTATGTTTGTGTAAATATCTCTTGGCATCATGAATGGTTACATGGTTTTCTGCTCAATCTCTAAATCTCCCTGCCTCACTGTATGGGGCGATATGCTTTCTAACCCATAATAGTTTGCAATGGCATGTTCTCGAGTTGGTAGTAGTACGGACTCAAATGCTGTCCACTGGCTCGAATACCTTCTCGGCTTGGTGCATATGTAGGTAACCATTGCAGTGAATAAGCTAGGCACATTACACACTGACATTCCTCCGCGGGGAAGATTGTATACATTGGTTATCGCTCAGGCTTACCCATGCACCGCAGAGTCTCACCGTGTATATAACATGTCCAGCCATGTTTTCCTTCCGATCTTTGACTCTGTCCAACTCATAACCACCGTGTATGATGGTTATTGTTATGGAGGCCTGTGGATCTAGCGAGCCTCCCCAGCTGGCACCTAGTATTCAATACCACTTTAGGGAGTTCGTGATGGTATACATGGAGGTAGTGCTGTGTGGAATAATAAGGTTGGGTTGGGTATATATACTAGCGGTTTTACTGGCTGCCAATGCATCTACCCCCCCCCCTTAACAAATCTATGGATAATATTGCTGAACATGTCAAGCTCTATGATCCTAAATAACATAGCTTTGGGAAGATCTGGTCTATTGATACTGTCTCTCTCAAAATACCGATCTGGACTGAGCAATTTTCCGGCTTGATACAAGGCTTAGCATCAACCGTTCTGCAGAGTCTGAATTAAAATGACAAATTGTTACATTCTATAATCCGAAGAAGTCCATAATTATCATCATCCTTCACCTGACTCGATTGCAGGGGTTTGGCTTGCTGGTCAATGTGTGTAATTGAGCCCTAATTCCGGCCTTCCGATATACTACCTGGTGTAACTATGCCTTCGAGATAATCCGAAACATATCTACGTACTTTTTATCGAGATTGAAGAGTCCACTTGTCACAGCATGGATCAGCAACATCGGTCATCGAAGTGTATCTGGGGTATTTCAGAATATAGAAAGCCAGTATAAACCCCGAGTATGAAGACCCAAGGCAAGGGGAAAGTACAAAGAGAAAGGCCAAGAATACGCTTAGATCCCGATGTACGAATAACGGACCTCCGGCATCTATCTATAGACATCTCGAGAGGGATAGATGCAGGTATCAAACTCTTCACCAGATTCTGTGCGTGTGCAACAGGGAGACTAGTACATAGATAATTTATACAAAAGCCGCTCTTATCTCTCTAGTGACCGTCCTTATTGAATTGCTAGTTACCTCTATAGTCTGAGCCACAAACGCAGGTTGACATGAAGTCGACAATATTCTTGATTCTATCATTATGGAGAAGCGTCCATCACGTCCAAGCAGCGGCCGTGTTCGCTCACTTCATGGTAAAACCCTCCTACTACAATCTATATCTCTGCTAACCTCTATCAACCCCAGGTATACAACTCGGAAAACTTCACAGTATATGACTGGGAAGTCAACATTGCAGAAGCACAAAAGGCCCACATCGACGCCTTTGCCCTAAACATCGCATACAACTTCCCAACCAACAACCGCTCTCTAGCAAACGCATTCACCGCCGCAAACGCCCTAAACTTCCAACTCCTCTTCTCATTCGACTACGTAGGCAACGGCGCCTGGCCAGAAGGCGAGGTGATCGGCCTACTCCGAAAATACGCAAACAACCCAGCCTACTACCACCACAACGGCAAACCCTTCGTCTCAACCTTCGAAGGCTCCTCCAACGCCACAGACTGGGCCACAATCAAAAAGTACGTAGACTGCTTCTTCGTACCGGGCTGGTCCGCCCTAGGCGCAAAGGAAGCACTCGCCGTCGCCCCAGGCGTTCCAGACGGACTATTCTCCTGGGCCGCATGGCCCGAAGGCCCAGCCCCGATGGAAACCTACATCGACTCAACGTACATGCAGTGGCTCAAAGACACCGGCGAGCTGCCGTACATGATGCCCGTCTCGCCGTGGTTCTACACGAACCTGCCCGGCTACGGCAAGAACTGGATCTGGAACGGCGATAACCTGTGGTACGACCGGTGGCAGCAAGTGATAGCGCTGAAGCCGGACTTTGTGGAGATCATCTCGTGGAACGACTACGGCGAATCGCACTACATCGGCCCGCTGCATGAGGGTGCGTATGCGACTTTCGAGATCGGAAAGGCTAGCTACAATTACGCCACTGGACATCCCCATGATGGCTGGCGCGATTTCTTGCCTTTTATCATCGATGTCTATAAGGGTGCCAGGGCGAATGTTACTACCGAGGGCGTTACTGCTTGGTTCCGTCAGGCACCTGGGACGGCTTGTAACAATGGTGGCACTACGGGTAATACAGAGACGCACGGGCAGGAGGAGTTCCCGCCTACGGAGGTCTTGAAGGATGAGGTGTTCTACTCTGCGCTGCTGCGGTCTGCTGTGGATGTGGATGTGTCGGTTGATATTGGTGGCGTCGTGCGGGAGGGGAAATGGAAGAATAAACCACACGGTCCAGTGGGCCTTTACCGTGGCAGTGTGCCTTTCGACGGTAATACTGGACAAGTTGTCGTGACGGTGTCTCGTCGGGGAAAGACCATCGCTGAGATGCGGGGTGCATCGATCTCGGACTCGTGTCTGGATGATATCCAGAACTGGAATGCCTGGGTTGGCACCGACTTTGCTAACAAGACAACTTCACGTCGTCCGCCGCCTTCGCCGACTTCGACTGCGGGTTCTGCGGCTTCGGCTCTTTTGGCGTTGGGAAGGATTCCGTTTACGATTATCTTTGTGGCCCTACTTGCAAATATGGTGACTGCGACGGCGACGCCTGTTCAGCATGAGAAATCACTTTTGACTGTCCCGATCTCGGAAGTTTCCCCATCGGTCTATAGTGCAGGTACCGACAATGGCGATCTTGGAAGCCTATATAGCCATGGAACTACCTATGGGTTATATCCAATCAACGGCTATACCTGTACCACGACAGCGGATGCTCCAGTTACGCCTTTCGTCTCAACCGATGCCACGGCTTTCGCATATGACGCATCTTGGAAATTGGACTGGTCTTGAAAGCAGCGGTGGTATTGGACTTATGGCAGGTATGTGCGATGGGCATCTTGATAATCACTACATGATATGTCGAATAATACTGGCGTTATAAGATACGGAGAACCGCATCGATCGATATGTCGGTGACCGTTAGTTATTTCCTAAGGCTTTGAATTGTTATCGAATCTATGTAATCCCTAAATGAAAGAGAAGAGCAATATCATGAATAACTGGGCCAAACTCCCATGGTTTCTCTAGGGCATGTAGACATGCTAAATTATATCAAAACAAAATCAGCAGACATGGTATACATATCATCTAAGCTTGAAATCTATGCCTCTACAGAACCATAGCAGCACATCATCTAAATTGATGTCTGCATCTATCAATAACTCGATATAACTAGCCTGCCACCTTAAGACACAACATGTACCATAGACCCAAGAAAAGAAATACGACAACAGAAGAAAAAGAGGAGGGAACCCCGTAACCTGAAATTGAAACCCATATATACTGGACAAAAGAAAATAGAAATAGACACAAGAAGTAAACCAAGTGATGTGGGAATAGATGAGTGCAAGCAATGCCAGGAAAATGCAGCAATGAGGTAAAAGGCCGAAAAGAAAAGAAAGAGAAGAGAAGAGAAATATAGACCACAACCACAACCACAGCCGGCAAGCCCCTCTTATGGCAAGATAGGCATATCCACGATCTTCAGGAGCTTCAACTTCCCAAGCCTCACCTTAACCGCCGCCCAGCCCGTCTTAAGTCGATGCTCAACACGTCGATCCCCCCCTCAACCGCATCCAGATAAGCAGCATGCCCAGCATAGCAATATCAACCACGATCTGCCGCACAGCAACCCAAATCATCCACTTCAGCCAAGCGAACAGACCAGATCGACGACGCTGCGCAACAGACCGAGCTTCCATCTGCTCACGCACAGCAGCAATCTCAGCCGTCATTTTCGTCAAGGCCTGCTCGACACGGCGGCGCCAGCGACTGTCTTTCCTGGGTTGATCTGAATGGGAATCTCGATGCGGCAGACCATTCCCACTGCTGTCCATACTAATACCAGAAGCAGGATTGCGTCGATGTTTGGGACGGTGATGTGAGGAGACGTCGGTATGTGTATGTGTGTTGGAGACGGAGTTGGAGCTAGTATGATCGGGGTCATCGTCGTCGTGGTCGTCTTGATCTCGTTCTTCATATAAGCTATCACGAGCTTCCTCAAACTCCTCAGAATCCTCATCCTCGTCCTCATTATGTCTTCCTCCATCCTCGCTATTTTCCACAGACCCCCTCCGTCGCCGGTAATATTCTTCTTCCTCCGGCTGGCTCACAGGACTAAGAACCCGTAATCTCGAATCCCGATCCCGTCGACTGGTATCATCCCGTCGAGCAGGACGGTCGTAGTCCTCCTGCGCCAATCGACTCCCAATACTCCCGTACGCACTGCGCGATAAGGGCGGGACACCGACAGCATTCAGCGGGCTGGAACCGGACGACGAGGCGGCGTTGAACTTGATCTGGTCCCAGACGAACTCGAGCTCCGCGACTAGCTCGCATGCTTCGGGTGTTCGGGAAGCGTATTCGTGCATCGTGTTGATGAGCGTCGAGATGTATCGCCGTTTGGCTTCGGTGCGCGACAAGTCGCGCTGCGCGTACCATGCATCCCTAGCCAAGACATTGTAAGCGTGGTGGTCGGATGCAGAGAGGGAGAAGAAGCTGTGTTTCATAGACCGAGCAAGATCCACATCAAGAGCTCCTTCCCCGCGCGTTTCGGACATACCATTTCTCGCACTCCGCGTGCACCTCCGGCGTGTTCCCAATCGGGCGATCCATTACTCCCTCCACGTCCCCCTCTGACCGAATATTAGTCCCTCTGATTCCGGTTTCCCATTGTGTTTCCGGTATTGTGGGCACTCACCCATACTCTGTTTATACAAGCCATATAGGGCCAACCGCTCGGCAGCGGGAGGTCGCGCGGTGCCGGTCCGGGGAATCCTCTTAACGGTATTGAGGGCATGAACAAAGACTCGATCTGGGATGGTGGGTGTCAGTGAGATCCAAACGCATGACGCAGGGCGCAATCTGCACACGCACCTACAGAGTCCGACATGACGCGATAAGCGGTCCGGTTTGCCCTGTCTTCATGGGAGCGGGGTTGGGCATCGGCTTGCGCGGGTCCTCATGGGGAGCGTATAAGACTGGAGATAGAAATTTGGGGATATAGCGATGATTGTTTTTGGCAGAGAGATGTTAAGAAGGGTGGTGTTTTGGGGAATTGGGATTGAAGGTTGTTCCGATAGGAGATTGGAGATTCCCGAGGTCCCCTGTGGTCTGATTGTGATCTTCCCCGGAATGCTGTCTTCTTTATTTTTCCCCAGATTGAAAAGATTTACTCCAATCAAAATGTGGAAGGAAAGCCAGGAGATTATCTGGAGATGGCGTGTGTTGGGCCGCGGCTCTCGGCGATCGTCAGGGCACCTGTGATTGTCGGCGATTACATTCAAACACTGGAGGATAAGGAGGATAATTGTAGTATAAGTTGAATTGTTCTTTTGTTATTATTTCTTAAACATATAAATAGCAATAGAATATAAAAAGAATATAAAACTCCCTACTCGCTCGGCAACTTCTTCATCGTCTCCAACGGTTTCTCCGCATCCACGGGCGTCCCCGTCATAAGCTCCGTGGCTGCGCGTGCCTCGTCACCACTGACAGGAGGTCCAGTAAAGTGCTTACGCGCATAAACGAAGTACCAAAAGATACTAATACCAGCAAATCCAGCAAAAACAACACTGGCATAGTTCATAGACTCCGGGGTAACAGGCAAGGTAACAGGCATACAGAAGAGAGCGACAGCCAGAACAATCCAGGCAATAGTAACGCAGTTGATGGCGAATCCAAAGCGACCGAGGGAAAACGTGGAACCTTTCACATCGCGACGGCCCCGGACCAAAGAGATCAAAATCGGGAGACCGTACGAGGTCGACAGACAGATAGTAGCCACGCCAGTGAAGGAGTTGAACGCAGCCGTGGAACCGAAATAGATCAGGCCGAGCAAGCCATCCACGACCGCCGAGAGCACTACAGCCCACACAGGTACATCCAATTTCTTGTTCACCCGACGCCAGAGCTTGAAGCCCGGAATGGCGCCGTCGCGCGCGAATGCATACGTGCAGCGACTGGCAGCTGTGAGGGATCCAATGCCGGCGAACAACATGATGCCCAGAATTAAGAAGAGCAAGCCGAAGCCACCGCCCGCTGAACCAGTCACCGTCTTAAAGAGGAGGCCGATCGGCTGACCGCTGGCTACTTCGCGCAGCATCTGAACGTTGGGCATCACGAATAGAATCGGAATCAGGTAGAACAGACCAGTGATGCCAGCAGCCACCACAGATAACACGATTGCCTTGGGTACCTCGCGGTGTGGGTTCTGCACCTCTTCGCACATGGCAGCGACCATTCCGTAGCCTGTCAGGGTGTATGCTGCCTGCAGCAAACCCACGAAGAAGGCCCATCCATCGGGCCAGCCGCTGGTGGAGGCGTCATAGTGAGCGAAGACGAATTCAGCGTCTCGGCGGTCGTCAGCCATTGTCAAAAGCGTGACGAGAATTACGATGACGCTGCCTGCTGTCCAGAAGATGCAGACTTTGTTGATGAGATCCAGATAGCGCGATAAGAAGATGTTGACTAGGGCGCAGAAGAGCATAACTGCCCAGAACATCAGTACGGTCTGCCACGCATTGGCAACGAAGGACTCGTCGAAGATGGAGATGGCGCTGAGGATCAGCTGGCCACCGGAGAAGATGATGCTGAGAGTGACGGTCCAATTGCCGACGAGAGTTAGCCATCCGTCGATAAAGGACATCAATGGTGCCCAGCGGCGCGTTGAGAGCATCGCGCTCCAGTAGTACACGCCTCCTGCTGTTGGGTATACGGCGCAGATCTCGGCGAGAGAGGCGGCGATAGCAATTGAGATCAGAGAAACAAAGACCCAACCCCAGATTATGGTGACGGATAGACCGTCGGCGAGGGTGATGTAGAGAGTTGTGCTCAGTCCGAAGGGGGCTGCCATGATAGCAAAGGATAAGCCGAGGATGCTCAGCATGCTCAGGTTACGTGGTAATTCACTCTTGTAGCCCATACGGGCCAATGCCTCATCGGCGGAGGCATCCTGGGAATTTCGCATGGTGAATGTGTTTGGAGAGTCCAGATGTTACCTGGGTAAGTGATATATTATATCTAAGACAGGCTTAACCCCGCATGGAAGACATGGCGCGGTCCGGGACCGCGCACTAACAAGGTTTTGATGAGGCGAAAAGGGATTATCTGAATTGAACGAATGACATTCTTCTACGGATTAGGCTTATCATTGTTTATATCTCTACTACTGACTGGAAAGGTCTTGTGACCTAATAGCATAATACGATAAGACACGGCATTTTGACCCACTTAATATTCCCCTATTCCCTTGACCATTATCTCAGATATCAAGACATTAAAATAGTATTCAGTCTATATCACGTGGGAATGCCTGGTATTCCCTGCCATTGAGTTCAAGGTCAGCCTGCATCAGATCCCTTGATGGAAACATGCGGAGTACACTATGAAGTAAGGAGTAGCATATCTAACATACGGAATACTTAGCCGAAGACATAGTACCTAATTAAATGCCTCTAACTACGGAGTACATACGGAGTACACCTGAGCAATCTAGTCTCATTATAACCATCCCGTCAACCCTGGGCCTTCCAACCGAGAGAGACACCGTACAAGGCATAACATAAGGCGGAGATCCCCAGTAGGAACCGAACACGTTTGACATCATAAGATCTGCAGCGGGGTTCCGTGCCAAACTATATATCACATAGTGTGCACCGTAACCATGAGCGCGGCAAGATCAAGAACCCTAATGGGAAGAGAACAAATTTACAGGACAGCCAATACATGTACCTACATGTCCTCTGTACACGGCTCGATAAGGAACTGACTACACCTTACTCCGTATATGGCCTACCAATCTACGAGGAAAGCTAAGTTTATAATGCGGGGGCTGGGATGAGGTTACAAGTTGGTGCTGTGGGGTGAGTGGACACTTGAAATCCAACAGATTTGGCTGAAGAGGGAAGGAGAATACCTAGGAACACGAGAAACCTACTCAGGCTATTCAAATACAGTCTACACTCGAAAATAATATTTGAATGATTCATTGCACACATACATCAAGGTCACGCGAGGTGACGGCTGCCACATCAGGAACATGCTGCGAAGACTCCACCGATGATCCAGGGAGACTGAGCAATCGATGAGCGCCAGGATGGATATATCAACAGGGAAGGGGGGGGATTAGATCAAAGGTGAAATCCAGATCCACACCCTTCCTTCGGAAGTTGTAGGGCAGGGTAAAGGGGGGTATCAAAGGGGTAAAGCACAAATGTCATCCAGTGATCTCGCTGGGGTGAAGAAAAGGAATTTTTTTCTTGTTTGATGAGATATCTAATAGAACAAAGGGGGGAGATCAGTGGGGGTGGGGGAGGGGGGAAGAGTATGGGCGAAAGTAGGCCCTAGTGTTGAAAGGGGCGAGAGAGAAAGATGGTGACGGGAAAAGGCTGGATTTTTTTTGGCCGCAAAGGAACCGTGCAAGTTGAACTCCGTCTATATGACCATGCAAGTAGTCAAGTAGGTCAGTCGGGCCGCCTTTTCCGAGAAGTCGCGCCTTGAAAGGAAAATAATGATCGAAAAGAAATGAAAATGCGCTGAGTCGTGACCAGCCAGCTAGTGCCAACTCCAAATCGTAAAAGAAACATGACCGTGGTGATGGAACGATCGTCAATCGAGGTCGGATGAAAAATCAAGAAAACGCCCATTCATGCAGTGTCGTCAGTCCGGTGAAGTCGTTACATGAGATGCAAGTACAGTCGCAGAGGCAAACGCGAGTTAGAAAGGTCAGAAAGGTGACGAGGCCAGTGACGAGACCAACATCTATGGACTTAGTCCAAGGTCATCATTCATGTCGGGCCCAAAGCCTGCCATATCGACGGAGTGCAAGGATCCAGGCCCTTGCCCAGGGAGATGTCGGAGGATGCATAGTCATGTTTGAGTCGGTCGTGTGGTCCGAAGAGATGTGGTCCGAAGAATGGTCGGTTCTCGTCATTGGGAGTGTTGCCATCCCCGCCAACCCACGGCCCGTTCTGCCAGAAGCGGGTATTCGCTTGCTGATCTCCGAACAAATCGTGATGGTCGGGATGAGGGTCTGGGCCATGGATGGGGAACTCATTTGGCGACTGGAATCGTAGATGCGACCGACCGAAACTGGAGCATGGAGAATCTGCGTGGAGCGGCATATCTAGACCAGAGAGAAGGGGAGGATCCTCCACCGGGGTGATGTCAATCGTCGGATTTTCCGTTTGCTTTGCGAGAGCCGCCGACAGCCGGAGATTTGAGGATGAACTTTGCCGGCTGTGACTAGCCGACCGCTCAATTGCACGCTGCACGAAGCTACCACAGGTCTTCAGTATTTTTTCTTGATGCTCCTGTGAAAGACTGTTGAAGTAATCGTTCGCCAGTGATGGCTTGGGCGGGTCATCTGCCGCAGGAACCAAACCGTAGGTAGTCTTGGCATATTCAGAGAGGCCTGACGGCATGTTGTAGGGAGACTGATAGACATTGGGTGCCAGCGACCGCTGCTGATCAAGGTAGGCATATTTCCCAGGCATCTTGGCAGCGGCCACGCTACCTCGATCAACCGTCTCCTGCTTGATACCCTCCGACTCCTTCTTCTGAATTACATCCAGTCGCTCCCGGTGGCTGACCAGCGAGAACCGGAGCATTTGAAGGAGCCGAGTGACCTCCTCCGACCGCATGTTCAGAGTCTGAGGCGGCAGCAAGGTCCCATCCGCAGCCCGAGGCTGAACCCGTTGCTGAGCCATGGCTAGCTCCAGCTTCTCGAGGCCATTGGCGGGTGGTATTGAGCCCATCGGACCCAACAGGGTCTCTACCACCAATTCGGGGCTGACGATAGTGTATCCGGCAAAAACATTGGCATGGTCGGTAATCTGTGCTAGCCGGCGGCGAGCAATGAGTTCTCGGACATTGGCAAAAGTATTGGTGGAT